ATAGCAACCGGTTGGTAAATTAAAGGGTTATAATTTTTGTTCATAGTAACCTTAAAAAAATGTTATTTTACTTAGATGGTTTAGTTATTTAACCAGTTGTGCTACTTAATTAGGTCCGCAACAACTTTATTTTGATATAGGGTGTTCAAAATAAATTAATGTCGATTTTCGACTTTATTTTATTTACAGTATACCTAAAGGTTTTTCAAACAAAATTCAGTCGAAATCTCACCCCAGGTTTTGGAAATATTCATAAAAAACATTTTCAAGGAGGAAATTTTCAAAAACCTTTCGTATATCACCTAATACTAAAAAATGTTGAAGGATTTAATGCTGACTAATGCTACGTCCCCATATAAATATTTTTTTAATATATTTTCAAGGCAAAGTTCTATAAATTTGTCAAAAATGGCGAATGTGCCGGGATTAAAATATAAAATAAAAAGAAAGCAGTTTGAATCATTTAAGTAAATATTACATTAGGTTGCAAAAATGAAATGAATTCCTAATAAATTAAGAATTGAGATGCTAAGTGTTTAATTTTCATAATTTAATAAGTGAAGATTGCCCCACTTTATCAATGACATTAGATAAAAATTCCACGAATAGGAAAAGTGTATACTTTCTCAATGTTAAAACATTTATGATTTACATCATCTTTTATTCCTGAAAAATACGAATTTATTATTTTGTAATGAAACCTAATTTATTTAATGTTTTTAAAAATAATTTTTACTACTTAGTTATACAGGGTGTTATGTAATTAATGTAATATATTAAAATACTGAATACTTTTTGATATAAGGTGTAACTGAAAAATATTTAAAAAAATATTTTTTCAAAAGTTTTATGCCCTTAATGCTCTAATACCCTTCTGTATTTATTTAATCATCCAGCTTAAGCAATGATTAGAAAATTTAGTACCCATTTTAAAAACTCCATGACCACAAAATTAATTTTTTCATCGGTTTTTTCTTTCAGTTTCCTCATAAATTAACAAGTTCACAGGTTAAACTTTAAACATTCAATTTGTGTAAATAAATCCAAAAGCACTTCCCTTAGTTAGATATTTACAGTTTGAGCACATAACCTAAAATTTTAAAGAAATGCACTATAGATATAGATTCTGTCATAAAAGTTGACAAATTTTGTTTGAATTTACCTTCATTACAAAAATGACATAATCAACAATTAATAAAACGCCAAATTAACAATGCGCATTGTTGATTTTGTCATTTTTGTAATTAAGCTAAATTTAAATCTGGCAACTTTTTTAGACAGAATCTGCTAACGCTGTATGTTACCAACCATAACATAATAAATTAAATTAGGCAACCAGATTAGCCTAAAGTTCCTAGTCGATCAGTGGCGTACTTTTTGGTAGGATAAAGGTTATTATAAATTATTTTTAGTCTTTAGAATTTAGAAAAAAAAGTTTTAGGTGCTTCTTTAGGTACCATACATTAATTACATAACACCCTGTAAAGGTAGTTTAAGTTCAATTAAATGAAAAACAAACCGAACAGCAACAAACTAAATATTTTGCACCGAGTTTTAATTTCATCCAAAATTAATGATATGACAAAGGTAAGGAATTATTAAGAGTTTCCAAGATGGCCGTGAAGACGTTGAAGATGACGAACGCCCCTAACGCACAAGCACATTAACAACCGATAAAAACATAAAAAAAGTGGAAGAAATGGTTATAAACCATAAGAGAAGTCGCTGATGATGTTGGTATATCGATTGGCTTATCCCATGAAATTTTTTCAAATGTTTTGGGTATGAAACGCGTGGCAGCAAAATTTGTTCCAAAATTGTTAAATTTTGAACAAAATTTTTGGCCAAAAACAATACTGTAATGATGCCCCAGCCTCCATATTCGCCAGACATGCCTCTGTTTGACTTTTTCCTATTCCCAAAAATAAAGAGAACCTTAAAGGGCCGTCGTTTTGCAAGCATAGATGACATTAAAAGCGCATCGCTGAAAGAACTAAAGGCTATCCCAAAGATCGAGTTTTAGAAGTGTTTCGAGTATTGGAAGAAGAGCTGGCACATGTGCATAATATATAATATTTTCTGAACACACCTCGTAAATACCACAAATTTACGTAAAAATAACGCTATAATTGCTAACTGTTTGCTCTCTCTTTCTAAAACATTGACATTCGTAATTTCTTTGTTCTTTTAATTTATATTTTACAAAATGGTACTTACAAAGTAATAAAGGCCAACACATAAAGTAAAATTTAAAAATATAACTTAAATTGCCAAAACTAATAATGTTTCGCGTTAAAACTCAAACGCACATTATTTTATTGATAAATATAGGCAGGATACATCTTAAAAATTATATGCCCTCTAAATATTTTACGGTTTTAAGAAAAATTATTGCTTGGGTAAAAATTCAACAAAACTTAACACCTACAAAATTTTATAAAATCTTTTAAAAATCAATTAGTTTTAATCATTTTTTAATAACTAAAACTTTCCTTATTATATTTAAGAAAAATATTCATGAAAAAATATTATATAAATAAGTAATGGATGCCATCTTAAAAAACTCATTATGGCGACCTGAAATTTTTTTTTATTTTTTACTTTAAGCTTATTTTTCCTTCTTTAGTCAATATTAATAGTATTAATTACCACTAATAACCCTAAAAAATACCAGGCGAATAGGAATTATTTTCGGTTATAAAGTGGTCTTAATATCGTAAAATTATGACTTATGAGTAATATTTACTATTAAGTAAAAATTGTGACGTTAAAATTACCGTTTAATTTTTCTTTAGGTCAAGAACACTTATAAGTAATATCTTTAGTAAAAATTACGTCCCTCATAATACTTTAAAGTGTTGAAACTTGAGGGTTATTAAAATAGGTAAAAATAACATTAACAAAACTTATTAAATAACTTTAAAAAAGTTTTACATCAAAGTAATATTTTTAGGTTAATTTAACAAAATATTTACTTAAATTTAGTAATATTGCCTCAAAGCTCTACGCTTTTACTTAAAATGTTGCTTGGGAACATACAAAAAATTCAAATTTGAAAATATAATAATTTTCGCATACAAAGCCATAAAGCTATATAATTTCTATTTTTACAAAAGTGCACAATCATGGTACTACCGTAAATATAAATACACAAATAAAATACGTTTTAATACCTACTAACATTCCTAGATATCTTATTTAAGATGTTTACTTATCATTATTAGTGTCAATACCTTTTGCATAGATAAGTATTTCATAAAATTATGTGATGTTACGAGTAAGTTTAACAAAAAAAAGATATATAATTAATAAATTGATTAAATAATTTTTTTTTAAATTTTTTAACAAATTTTAAAATTTTTTAATAATAAATAGTCTTGTAGATATTGTAACATCATTATAAATTGAAGTTTATGGCAAAAAAACATACAATTTTCTACGAAAATTTCACCTGAAGTTCATACGGAATTATAATGTAATAGTGGTTATGTTCATAATTGTGTGGATTGTGGTTATGTTTAAATTATTGTAGGTTACATTGAACGGTTGTCAAGTTGAGTTGTCATAATTTGTAGTTAAAAATGCAATTAATTAATGCAATTAATTATAATGTATATGGGTGATTCTACAAAAGTTGGGCAAGTTGTGACCTCATTTTGTTTATATAATTTTCGGAGAAAATTAAACAGTATTTTGTTATGAGAACATAGATAATATAATAAATATACTGTTCCAGACCGGACCAGTCACTATTTCAAACAGTTTCTGAAATATCTGTGTTTTCTAAATTTGAATGCAAGGGAAGTGACGAGTATACCAGGGTACTAATTTATAATTAATAATAATAATACATAATTTATTGGAAAATATAAGATTTATTGCAACTTCGAGCATAGTATACATTAAATATCTTAAAATCAAATAATACCTCACATCAGTGGCGGCTGGTGGATTTTGGGTATACCGATATCTCAATTATTAGATATGGGACCCACACCAAATTTATATGAGTTTATAATGACATTTAATAAACAAGTTCTGCGCAAGCAGAATTTAAATTGAAGTTTGCGAAAAAAAGATAACCGAAACATCGAACATGGAACTGACGACACGGTAGTGATGAATGGGATACAAATTTGAGATTATAATTTGGAATTAAGTATTTACTGATATTTTTTATTAGTGGATGCTACTTATCAACAAATCAAATATGGCCCTATATAAATTACAACGAAATATATATACGTAAGAAAATAACTACTTACCTACTGAAATTTTGACTGGAACTATACGTGCATTCACCACAACTTCGCCGCTTGCATTGTTTTCATGTCGTGCAAAGGGCGGGCTCTGTAGGTAATTTGTTACCAACACTTAAGTTAAAACGAGGACTTTAAACTTCAATATTTTGCAGAAATTTTGAATTTTAACATTGGACACAGAACTGACGGGTAAAAGTGAGTACAAAGATTATCAATTTTTTAAAAATTGCTATTATTCGAATTTATGATAAAATATGAAAAATGCATTATTTAATGTTTTATAGTTTGTAGTGAAATTGAAAAATTTAAGATAAATTGAATATATTTTAAAATAAAATTACTCAAATATTTGATTCAGGAGTTGTGACACGCCAAGGTACTGATGTTTTGAGTATTTATTATGTTTTTCTACAAACGTGCTTTTGAAAAAATACATTAAAATTGGGTGGTTAAAAAAACCTGGATCTTTTGTAAAATACTGAAATATTTACAAATAAAAAAAAATTAAATGTATGTAAAGTACATCAATGGCTTATGAAATTTATTCCCATTATATAATAATATAATATTTGTATCTATGGAGGGGTTATTTTACATTAGCCCTGTATAATATTAAGTACACCCACCTCCGAAATCGACCAATAGCAGCTCGAGCTTGCTCCCAACGCATGATCCAAGAAACCATATATAAAACAGCTCACTATTTGAAATCGTCATATTAAAATAAAACGTATACGAGTTATCAAGAGAGTTTATTATAAACATTTGACACTCGACCACTGTAGAGAGAAGATACGAAAGTGAATTGCAGAAAAAGTGAACTGTACAGTGTTTTGTTATTTTTTTGTTTTAACTGTTATATCTAGTACGCCCAATTTTGAAAATGAATACGCTTTTCAAAGTTTTTATTTTTTTTGTGATGTTTTTCGGTGTGCAGAGAATAGTGTTCGCCAAACCCAGCAGGTAATTTTTTTTTTAATTGCATCATGGTCATGATGCAATTTTTCTCATTTTTTAAAAACGATTTTTTTAATTTATTTGGGACAAACTCATGAAGATAAATTCATTTGTACAATTAATTTACTATAGTTATAGTTTGAATTCTTACTACATTTTGTAATATAATAACATATCTATCATTGATGCTATTTTGATTTTTAAATAAATTTATCTGTGGTGATTTAAAATGATTTATTGAATTTTATGGAAATATTATGGAATCCAATATTTATATACAGTGTGTTTCATTTTGATTGACAAAAATATTTATTTAATAATATTCCGATTTAAAAAAAAATGTTTTTAATTTATAACTCGAAAATGTCATATGTCATTTCAATCGCTTTCTGTGTTAAATAGAAGAACTTCAAAAACTTCAAAAGTTATAATGGGCATTTTTTAAATTTTCACACAATTCAAAAGCCCACTAAAATATTTTAAATTTTTCGAAATTAAAAAAAAATTTTTAAAGGTAATCGCACATAACAAACTTAAAAAAATTGCACATTCATACATTTTCCATTATTTTTTATCAAAATCGTTTTAGACAAAATTTAAATATATTTTAAAATTTGGGAAAATTTAAAAATTATAAAATGTAAAATTTTTTGAAATTTGTCCTTTCATGTTTTAAATTTATGCCACTGTGCATATATTTCCCACTATTTTTAGACAACTTGTTAAAATTATAGTAAATTTAAAACAAAAATTTTACTATTTTTTAAAATTTAGGAAAATTATAACTTAAAATAATTGAGTATTTTGAAAATTTCAAACATTTTTAAAAATTTGCAAAATTTTAAAATTTGAAAAATCTGAAAATTTTATAAATTTAATTTTTTTTTTAAATATGTCCACACAATGCACGCCACTGTGCATATGATTCCCTCCATTTTTGGACAATTTTTTAAATTATAGGAAAATTTAAAACAAAAATAAAATCGTTTTTTTGCCAAAATTGGACTATTTTTTTAAATTTAAGAAAATTAAAACTTAAAATAATCGAGTATTTTTAAAATTTCGAACATTTTTAAAATTTTGCAAAATTTGAAAATTTTGAAAGAAGTAAAAATTTTTGAAATTTCACAATTTTGGCCAAAATTTGACTATTTTTTAAAATTTAGGAAAATTAAAACTTAAAATAATCGAGTATTTTGAAAATTTAAACATTTTTAAAATTTTGAAAAACCCACTATTTTTGGACAATTTTTTAAATAATTGGAAAATTTAAAACTAAAATATCATCATTTTTTGCCAAAATTTGACCAATTTATAAAATTTAGGAAAATTAAAAGCTTAAAATATATATGTATTTTGGACATTTTTAAAATTTAAAAAAAAAACTGAAAATTTTATGAATTTAAAAAATGTTATCGTTTTTTAAATTTGTTTACTGTGCAAATTTGTTCTCCTATATTTTTAAATTTATGCCACTGTGCATATATTTCCCATTTTTTTTTAAATTTTGGAAAATTTAAAACTAAAATAAAATCGTTTTTTCCAAAATTGCACTATTTTTTTAAATTAAGGAAAATTAAAAACTTTTTGAAAATATCGAACATTTTGAAAATTTGAAAATTTTAAAAAATCTGAAAATTTTATAAAAACTGAACATTTTTGAAATTTAAAATAAGGTCTATGGTAAAATGTACAATATTTAAGATTTTTTTTTTTAAATTTCATTGAATTGTATAAAGAAACTTATTTGTATACCTATGCTTTAAAATGTACATAATATATTATATGGGTGCATCAAAATTTAATATTTTATGCAACAACACATCTTTCTGTACCTATGTAAAAGCCTTTTCTATTGAATTTATTATAACAAGGCACACTAATAAAAAGAATAGGTATAGGAAATCAAACGGAAACTTGCTTGTTATAAAAATATTTTCCATATCGTATCAAAACAGATTTCCTTATTTTTTTAACTCATTTTAGTCAGTAAAGAAAACCATTAAAAATAATCAAGAAAGTGTCATAAACATAATTAACGATTTCAATCGTTAAATATAATATAAAACGTGTCTTGAAAAAATATCTGGGAATTAAAACAATTTTACGTACTTAGTAAAGGGTAAAAAAAACATCGACTTATTTAATTTTTTTTACAGGGTGAAGCGAGTTTCCGATTCATATTTAACGGACTTGAAAACAAAGTTGGCTCTAAGCAAAATGGACAAAGTGGCCATAACCATCCCAGTAAGCGCAGGACTTAGAGACCCCATGTCAATGTGAGTAAAATAAACATAAACTATTTGTAAACTCTTTTATCTCCACGCGGTCTATAATTTAAACTTTATTGTTGTCAACATTCGATAAAGAAATACCTTGTTATGGCCTAGGCCGATAAAAATTTTTATGAGGCAAGTAATTAGTTCGATTTTTTCTCGCTAGGGGTATTGTTTTGACAAATTAATCATTTTTTAAGAAATTAACGTACTAAACTGGTTTAATTTATTTATAATAAGCACTAATTTGTTTGTTTTACTGTTAATGTTTAATATTTTTCATTAAATTATTGTAAAATTAAATATGATTAATAAAACAAAAAGTGAGGTTAGGCAACCAAGAAAACGCACGATTCTTTTTCTACGATTTAAATTATCTTTAAGTTTTAATTTGCTTTAAGTTTTCAGTGAAATTAAATGTTAAACACAGCTTAAACATTACAAACTACCTATTTTTTAAATAAAAATCCAAACAAATTGAAAATAGATACCTACCTATTTATTAAACAATTAATTAAATTCAATGTAATATCAAAAATCAATTTCTACTTAAATCATGTTGCTAGGTATTGTCAAACTATTACTGCTTCTTAAATCAATAATAATTATTGTACATTTAATGTAATCTTTAGCTAATAAATAAATGAGATTCTAAAAAAGTGAGGTTAGGCCGCTTTGATGTTGAATTAAATTGACCTAAATAAAGTGCTTTGAAGATAAAATGTTGTATACCATTCGGCCAAGAAGTGCCTTTTTGTGCTTCGCTCAATTGTAGGCCTCCGCTACGCGTCGGCCTTGAAACCTTGAGCTTAGCACAAAAAGCCTTACTTCTTAACCTAATGACATAAATAACTATTGTTCGTTAAACTAAAAAAAACACGTTGCTTTTTTACTGATTACTATATACTAATTACTAATTATTTCTTTTTTTTTGCAGAGGGCGTCGACGAAGGTCTCAATCGCGATTCTTGGATGTTCTGTTCAACCAATCAGAGGAAGACAACGGCGATCCGATGGCTCTTGATTATGACGACTACAAAATTAATTTTCTGAAATTCAACAAGTAGATGGAAATTCGAGAAGATTTTTTTGGAAAACTACGCTTACTTAAATTCATTCAGGAGGAGTTTATTATTTGCCGGAATCCAGGCAGATAGAGAGGATTTTTTTAAGAAAAAGTGATTATATTGCTTTGTTTGTAACAGATTGTAATCTCAGTGAGAAACACATGTCAAAAGATAGAATTATTTATTTTTAATTTCTATGAATATTTTGACATATTTTTTCAAAGTAAGAATCTCAAAATTTCTGTAAGCGTATTAGGATACAAAAAAACAAAGCAATTTTAATATATGTAACCAAAGATAATACATATTATATTAATAATATATGTAACCAAAGATAATACATATTATATTATCTTTGTATGTAACTACTTATGTAGGTATATCAAAAAATTCAGTATTATTTTTTTGAATTTCTTTTTGTACATATTATAGAATCAAAACTAGTCAACTTATATGAATGTGTGTATATTTATTTGTTTATTTATTGTGTAATTTATTTATTTACTTATATAAGTATTATTGAAAGCAGCTATTTAAAAACATATCAATCTTTTGTGTGTATGTAGGTATTATTTTTATAATTAATTTATTATTTTTACATTCCAATTTTTATTTTTTACAAAATAAATTATAATAATATATGAATTATTGTTTTATTTCATTATTCAAAAACACAAAAAACGTTATCATGTTGCTAAATATTAAATTAGGGCAAATAACAATACGATTGATCTAAAAACACGTTGAGAAATTATGATATTATTGTTATAAAACAATTACTCAATAATTTCTTAAAATAATTATATGTTATTTATTTATAATAACTATTTTCTCACAAAATTATTTTTTCAGTTGAAATATACACCTATCAAAATATTTGCACATACTATAGTATGTGAATTAGACTGGGCCAAAAAAATCGACTATTTTTTCTTGGAAAGTATATCGAAAATATTGTTTGGGGTGACAAAAAAAAATTATGGTGAAGTCCATAATATTAATATTAAGAGGTCTTTTGTCTCAGAACTCCCAAATCATTGAGTTTAACAAAATTGACTTAAAAATATTTTTTAAAGAAAATTGAATGCTCTACAAAAAAGGTTTGATTGGAACTTTCCGTCAGATGAACCCTTTTCTTACAATCATGCCTTAAAAATTGGTATAGTTTTACAATTTGATCTTTTAATTTTGTAAGTCAAGTAAAAATCAGTACCCTGAAAAAAAAAACAATAAATATTCTTATGGGAAATCAAATGCTCTACAAAAAAAGTCTTTTATCATTTTTGGCTAAATTCACCCCATCAAAAGTTATTCAAGGTTAAATTTGAAGTCAAAATGAAATTTTAACCTTGAATAACTTTTGATTGAGTGAATTTAGCCAAAAATGTTAGGAGGCTTTTTTTGTAAAGCATTTGATTTCCCATAAGAATGTTTATCGGTTTTTTATGGGTACTGATTTTTACATGAATTACAAAATTCCAAAGTTATAAGATCAAAATGTAAAACTATACCAATTTTTAAGGCATGATTTTAAGGAAACGGTTCATCTGACGGAAAATTTCACTTTAACCTTTTTTGTAGAGCATTTAATTTTCTCAATTTTGTTAAACTCAATGGTTTGGGAGTTCTGAGCCTAAAACTTTTTGAGGAAAAAAAAATTAAAATTGCGATGGTAGACCTCTTAATAATAATATTATGGACTCAAACTTTCACAATAATTTTTTTTTGTCACCCCCAAACCATATTTTCGATATACTTGTCAAAAAAATAATAGTTGATTTTTTTGGCCCAGTCTGATGTGAATATTTCATATACTTACCACAAGTATATGGAATATTTCATATACTTACCACAGTGTGGTAAGTATATGGAATATTTGTTGCGGTACGCCATCTATCATTGATAAAATGAACAAAAACGTAGTAAACTACATTAAAAAATCCTTTCAAACAAGTTAAACTTTTAAAAAATCATTTACAATCGTTAAAAGCACTGTTAAATTATTTTTTGCATTTAAATCAAGCAACACGATTTTTGACATAAGTAAAACCGGCACCGCTGTTTACATATCGATTAAGTCAGAGCGCACGCGCCACATTTTACGCAAATAACGACAAAGACGGCTGTTTACAACGTATTAATAAATCACGTGTACGACAAAGATGGACTTATAAAGCAGTTGCGTGTTTTATAGACAGTTAGAGTGAGAGGTTTGTGACGTATGCACACCGACGGTTGTCAGACAAGGACGTTGCGATAGTTTAGAAACCAATATGGCGTCGAAATATTCTACAGTAAATTGATGTAAAAATCGGGTATTTAAATGGTTTTTGTGGTGTGTAGTGACTAAAATAACTTCTTAATGCCATACAAAGTGATTATTCAGTGATATTAAGTTTTTATAGTGTTTATTCGAGTTCGAAAACGGTGGTTTTGCAAGTGTAATGTTTTAATGGTATAAAATATGACTTCTACGAATATACAGGATAACAAAACGTATAATTTTAAAGCAGAGGAAAATATCGCGAAATGGAAAGGTTTACTGACAGCCCCCCTGAAAAAAGTACGTATTTTCTCCGACAACAACCCCATACTGAGTAAAACAAAATGTCAAAACTTGGAAACCGTCTCAAAAACAACTTGTTATCTCCGATATTCGCCTAACGTCAAATAAAAACAAATAAACATCGATAGGATTCCTAAGGTGTCATATCGCGGTTTTAATCTGTCATTTCAAAAACAAATGATGTTTAAGGGGTGAACGACCTTGGTTAATAATAGATGTATTGAGCCGATTATAGTGACGTTTCTAACCGTTTCAAATGTCAAACTCGATGTTTGGCAGTTTTTTGTGATTTTTTTTGTTTAAAATGTCAAGTTTTGGTGAATTTTTATATTTGCCCATTTGAAAGGTGATTTACATTTCAAATGCATTGTTGTCATTTTAGGGGTTTTACTTTCGACTTTTAATTTTGCAATGTTATGTTTGTAGTTTTTAGGTTATTTTAAATTGATTTTTGTAAAACAATTTTTTAATTGATTTTTTTAATTTTGTAAGATAATTGATGGGTATTATGTAGTACGCAAAACAAGATTTTAAACAAATATTAAAAAAAAATAATTTAAATAAGGCAGTTGACATGGTTGTCAGATTGTCAGATTTTTATCTGGACTGCGCCAACGTTGCAAATTTAGGGTTTTGGTTGGTAAATACAGTTGTCAAGTTGGTCGCATTGATTAAAACAAACTAAGCTAGTTATAAATCTAATTGTGGTTATGTTTAAATTATTGTAGGTTACATTGTGCAGTTGTCAAGTTGAGTTGTCGAAATTCGTAGTTAAAAATGCAATTAATTTGGCTTTGGTGGTGCTTGGATGAGTAAAATCATATAAAAAAGTAGTTAAATATAGGTGCTTTACGGCCCAGAAGAGAAAGTATTCCTAGCGGATAATAATCTTCTCTTTGAAAAGAATTTATATAAGAAAAGAAATTAAAATTTTTTGTGAACGTAAATGTTGTCCAATGGTGAATAATGTGAAAATAATGTGTGATGTAATATTTATAAAACCAAATTCGTTACTTTTTTACTCCAAAAATGCCCATAAGGCGATGTACTTTTTCTTCCATTGTGGCATTTGGCATAATTTCATCAAAATGAAGTTTTGCCCTCAAAAGGGCTTTTACATTCGAATTCGTTGCTATTATTTTTGACATAATTATCTTTTTATTTATAATTGACAAGTAAATTATCAATAATAAATATTATTGTCAATTTGACAGTGTCAAAGTATTTAATTAAATCAAACTGGCATAAGCCACCAACCTAACAAAAAACCACGAATCCAGGTAAAAAAAATGAACTGTAGGTACTAAAAAATTGTTTTTAAATCAATTTATAACCTTAAAACTTAATTATTAATTTATTATCTATGATTACCCCCCTCAAAAATTGTTTTATTTTTTTCCCCAAAACTTGTCAAATATAAAAAAGAAAAACTTAAAGCTTTAAGAAAAATCGTAAATTAATTATTTCTTTTTAAGGTTTTGGAACAGGTCCATCCCTCATTAGGGGCAAGGGACGATGCCCTGGAGCTAGTAGAAAGTCTTTGCTTAAAATTACTGGGAATGTTATGTGCATCTGGCCCACACACTGTACAGGTATAAATTAAAAAAAAACATTACATTAACAAGTTACTTATTAAAAAAGATGAACTTAAATAGAGATCTTGATGTCACTATGTTATAACAGATATGTCAAGAGTTACAAATGAATTCAACATGTTTCTTGCATGGTTTCTAGGTTATGTTGAATATTTTTTAAAGTATTTTAATCGTTTTTAAATTGAGAAAAAGTAGAGGTGCTAATATTAAGTTTTAAAAATAATTTTATGAACTTCATACTTAAATATGCTATTAATGGTTTTATAACAAATAAAACTGTCAAAGAATTTGGTTATGTTCGGATTTTTTATTTTTGCATATACCTACTTCATTTGTAAAACTTGACACGCCTATTATACCTACCAATATAACAGTTATAAATGTTTTTTTTAATGGATAATCTCTATAATAGAAGTAGTTTTACACATTTTTGACATCATGTCCAAACCCTATTATAATGTTTGAGATTGAGATGAAAAATACCATTTTTTTAAATTTTGTTTATTTTAGGATGTTGAAAATCGTGTACAAAGCACATTTCCAAACCCAATTGACAAATGGGCTCTAAAAGAAGCCCAGGAAGCCTTGGATAACAAGGGAAAGAAAAAACACGTTCTTCTTTTACCAGTGGACAAAATTCACAAGTTGTTGCAAAATGTAAGTTAAACTTACTAAGTTAATATTTTTAGTACCAAATTTAAAAAAATTAAATATAATATACAGGGTGTCCCAGATTTGAATCTGGAAAAGTTATTTTTACTACACTCACAGGCAAAATAATCGATCCACACAAATTTTCGATGAATTTCAATCGCAAATAACTTTTTTATTTGATTTTGGATTTAAACAAATATTAAGGAATATTGTAGATACATTAATGGAGAATAGCTCACATTTTAAAAATTACTAAAAAATACACGTACGTTTATAATATACAGGTTTAAACAAAAACATGTTTTTTACCATAAGTTTAAAACACTCTGTAGAGTGGCAAAACCGTATATTGTTCTAAATTAAGTTTTAATTATCAAGTCACATCTATTTTTAATAGTTTTGTTTTTGGTTCACCTTGATATATTTATTTTTGTGGAAAATATGGATTTTTTTTTTTAAATATTGCAATTTCCAATATTTTTTCTGTATGAAAAATTAAGGTTGCTATGGTCCATCCATAGCCTATGGAGGATGATAGTGACAGTTTTGTTAAATCATCCCATACTTGGACATATCAAATACAGCTTTTAAAAGCTATCAAATTGTTTTTTGTAAATTAATGTGTTAATTTTGAGGTGTCTTCATAATTTAAAAAATGTCTCCGACTGATGTTGCCCTTTGTACTTTACTTCTTGTGACGTTTAAACACTTGCCACGTAATACTGTGACCGTCCATCCTGGATTAAATTTATGGCTCTGGCAACATCAGTCGGAGACATATCCATTTTTTAAAGTAAGAAGACACCTCAAAATTTAAACATTAATTTGCAAAAAACAATTTGATAGCTTTTGAAAGCCATGTATGACATGTCCAAGTATGGGTTGATTCAACAAAACTGTCACTGTCATTCTCCATAGCCTATGGATGGACCATAGCAACCTTAGTTCTTCATACAGAAAAATATTGGAAATTGCAATGTTTTTTTAAAAAATCGATATTTTCCACAAACATAAATATATTGAGGTGAACCAAAAACAAAACTGGTAAGAATAGATGTGACTTGATAAATAAAACTTAATTTAGAACAATATACGGTTTTGCCACTCTACAGAGTGTCTTAAAGTTATGGTAAAAAACATCTTTTTGTTTAAACCTGTATTATAAACGTACGTCTATTTTTTAGTAATTTTTTAAAATGTGATCGATTGTCCATTAATTTATCTACAATATTCTTTAATATTCGTTTAAATCCGACATTAAATAAGCAAGTTATTTGCGATTGAAATTCATCGAAAATTTGTGTGGATCGATTATTTTGCATGTGAGTATTTTTTTTATTTCTTAAAAATTTTTGAAAATTCAAATTATAAATTATTTTTTGTATTTTTTAGGAATTATTACTGTATAAAGTTGATACAACAGTCACCTTATTCCTTGTGGCAGTTGTTGAGTATATTTCAGCAGATATTTTAAAACTGGTTGGAAACTACGCAAAAAATATTAACCACTTGGAAATAACCTACCAGGATGTCCAAATATCCATGAAAGTGGACAAGGTATTTATTTTTTTACGTTTATTTTATTAATTTTAGTCTACAGGGTGTCCACTGAAGACGAATCATTATAAAAATTGAATAAGTTGCCACAATGAAACACCCTGTAGAAAAAGCATTGTTTTATATGAGTTGACTAAATTTGACTAGGTTTTATTTAGTTTTGTTATATGAATGTTTATAATACTAGTATAGAAAAAGTTAGGTTAGGGTACCGTTTATTGTTAGTATACTTTAATTAAATTAGAATAAATTAAGAATAATTAATTTCAAAATTTTATTATTATTATTGTTTTTTTTTTAAATTGTTTTATTTAATTAGGTAAAGTCTACAGCTTGTTTTTTATTTGGAAATTGACTGAAATAAAAAAAATTTCCACTCCCACCTTTAAAATGCCCATTATTGATACCAAGTGACCTTTTAAATACACATTGACAAGTAGCAACAAGTTTTTAGTCACGGGCTGAAGTTAGTTTTAAGTTAGTTGACAGTTGTCAAAAATATTTAAAAAAATATTATTCCAAAGAAAAAATATGCATTAAAAGTTTTTTATATATTTTTTTGATACGCCACTGGTTACCCAAAATTTTCTTGAAAAAAATAAATAAAAACTCAATAAATACAAAAACTTTATGCCCTTCTGTATTTATTTACAACAGTTTCAGTAGTAGAACGAAAATTCCGTAAATTTTCCATGGATTATGGGAATATACGAATATTTTGGGAAATTTTATTTTTATCTAGGATGATAATGTAATAAATTAAATTAACAATCTTTAAATTCCTTTTATATTATGCTTATAAAGCAACAATTTTGTTCACAAACCTACACAAATGTTTATACATATAATCGCGATTTTTTATTACAATAAATACAAAGCAGGTATGACAACTTAAAAATAATTTTAATTTTACCATATAAAATTACTAACAACTTGTTCCGTCAATTTACAAACAAAAAACAGTTTATTTTTTCTACGATCAAAAGACTTTATGTTAGGAATAGCTTTTTTATTAAATAGCTTTTGCTTTTTTTCACGCTGCCTTAAGTCCACAGCAATGGTAGGTAGCAAAAAAGATTTGATTCATTTTTAAATTTTTTTTTATCAAAAAAAGTGCATGTAAATTTACGGCATGTTCAAAAATTGATTTTTTTCAAAAAAAATTAGGCAGTATTATGGTACACTAAGAATATTTGTCTACATACATACATATTCATTTAAATTTGTAGTTATATATGTATATGGGTGCACCAAGTATACTCTTTCTATGGGTATCATGTTTATTTATAGAGCTTGGTTAAATTCATTTAAATTTGTAGTTATATATGTATATGGGTGCACCAAGTATACTCTTTCTATGGGTATCATGTTTATTTATAGAGCTTGGTTAAATTAAAGAAAAGTATTTAAATGGCGTTTAAAAATTGGAAAAAATTCAGGCTTATAATTACTCAACTTTTCTTTAATATTACTCTTCAAATAAAAAAATTCCTATAGACCTTAGAAGGATACTTGGTCCACCCTGTATAAATCTTAGCATGAACTATGTATTTTTTTCTCTTTAAATATTTTGCTTTTTTTCTCTATTTTTTTTTAGATACTAGCCTTTATTATTTTGCTGTGTGCGAGCTTTGCTGTAACATTTTCTATTTTTTTTGCAAAACATAAATAAGTAACAAAAACTTATTATTATTATTATTATTATACAACATATTTGGTTTTTATTTTATCTGAAACTTATTACTATTATTATCTTTCCAAAATTTTCATTGTAGGCATGACGTATTTCTAACTTTTTCTATCCATTTAAAAATTATTTTATTTTTTGGAAAATTTGTTTTATAAATACAAAAAATACCGAACATTAAAACGAAGGTGATGAACAATTTTCCATACTTATTACACCCTGTATAAGTAGTCTCTTCTAGGTGATTGCTTGTAGTATAATATTATTTTTAATATTGGATTTAATAAAATACTTTTATTTTATCGTTACCTGATACGCCCCTGATTGAATTTAATCAAGGGGCAGTATTTCAAATAAAAAATATGAAAAGTCAATACTCCTTGATATTGTTCCACCCTGTATGTTTGGCAATTTAAGTTTTGAGAATTTCTGGACGTTCTTTAAAACGATAAAATAAATGTTTATATTTATTAGGGTGGTCTTAATATAAATATATATGTATATATAGGGTGATTCGTTTAGAAGGACCATTTATTTTTTCCCACTTCCCAAGCAAAATATTGATGTATATATCGTCGCCTTCAGGAGAAAATCACGTAACTCCACATTTTCATTAAAATGGTATTTTAGTGGCATCTATTAGATAAAACTGTAACTAATTTATATGCAAGTTACAGAAGTCCTAAAATAAACCGTTAATTTTAAATTTAGAAAAAGAAATATACGTATCTCCAATCGTGGAGGAGCGTCCAGGGAATAATGCCTAACTCCAGAATACAAATCAGTTATTTTTTCTGTAAAGCCATTGTTTTCCAAAGTGAAATTTGTTAAAAGTAAGTATGAAAGATTGTATAGTGTGTAAAGTTAAGGTACCATGAATAATTTAAGGTTACTTTTATTAACATAAAGTGCAGATTGGAGATACGTAATTTTCCATTAAACAATTTTTTGGCGGTAATGTGGAGATACACCAATGCACCTTTAATATGTTTTTCTTTCCTCCTGTAAAATTTTACAACATGGAGTTAAGCAATTTTCTCCTGAAGGCGACGATATCTAGAAAAAAATGCAATGCCTTGTGGCAGTTTAAGAAATTAAAATTAAAAAAAAATCATATAATATTTTTCTGGCCTTATAAATGCACAACTTTTCCACCATTGTACAATTTGATAATTGAAAAATAGTAAAATCGGCCCACCCTACTGTATACGTCACATTATTTTTGAATTTTATGGTAAAACGGTTAAAGTAACAGGTAAAAAGTTCATAAGATTTGTTTTGGAAATTCAATTTCCTATAAAAAAGTTCCGTTGCAATATTGCAATAAAATGTATAATTTTAAGATATAGAGCATTTAATAAATTTTAGTGTCAAATATTGATAAACTTATTAGTCCTATGTTGTTTTACGGCAAAACAGTTAAAGTTATACGTAAAAAGTAAAGAAAACTTTTCTGAAACATTTAATTTCCTACAAAAATAGTTTTATGCATTATTGCAATAAAATGCATAGTTTAAAAGATTTAAAGCATTTAATAAACTTTAGTTTCAAATATTGGTAAACGAATGTTGTTTTACGAAAAATGTAAAAAAAAAATACTTTTAAAGGAAATTTAATTTCTGCTGAAGTTATCTTTATTACAAATTTCGAAAAAGTGAGGTTAAATCCGTCGAATGAAAAATTAATATATTAAAATTGGATTTAAATTTTTATATCTTTTCGTCGTAGATAAAGTATAGTATGCAACTCGTTTTCTAAACTTCTCTAAACCCCTATTTTTATTAAACACTCGCTCGAAAGCTTCGCTCGTGCCTAATAAAACTCGTAACTAAAATAGCGTTAAGTATACTATTATGGTCAATTGTTGATAAAGTAGGTAATTAGTTTTATCGAAATTTGAAAGTTAAATTTATTCTTTATATCTTTTAAACTTTTATTGGATTAATGAATAGAATATTTGTATAGGAAATTACATTTTCTATACAAATCTTTTTTATTTTCAGCTGTTTTTTCGTAAAAGGATTCTGAATATACGAGGTGTGTTCAGAAAATAACGGGAATTGTTAAATTTCGCGGGTTCGGAGGGTCCGGTTGTCATAAAATTTTCTGTATTATGTTGGTATACATGCCCCCGAAGTATGATAAAAACTTTGGCTGTTTTCATTGTTTACTTTGTCTGAGGCAGCCGCTAAGGTTAGACGTGTATTATGAGCTCGGTGATTTTTCGTTCGTTAAAAGAAATGGATCAAAGAATTTGTATCCAATTTTGCTTAAAAAATGAAATAAATTCTGTGAAATGTTAACAAAGGCCTATAGTGAGTCTGCTATAAGTAAAACAAGAGTTTACAAGTGGTATAAGAGTTTCCAAGATGGCCGTAAAGACGTTGAAGATGACGAACGCCCCGAACGCACAAGCACATTAACAACCGGTACAAACATGGAAAAAGTGGAAGAAATGGTTATAAACCATCAGAGAAGTCGCTGATTATGTTGGTATTTCGATTGGCTCATCCCATGAAATTTTTTCGAATGATTTGGGTATGAAACGCGTGGCAGCAAAATTTGATCTAAAATTGTTAAATTTTGAATTTTGAACAAAATTTTTGGCCAAAAACAATACTGTATTGATGCCCCAGCCTCCATATTCGCCAGACATGCCTCCGTCTGACTTTTTCCTATTCCCAAAAATAAAGAGAACCTTAAAGGGCCGTCGTTTTGCAAGCATAGATGACATTAAAAGCGCATCGCTGAAAGAACTAAAGGCTATCCCAAAGATCGAGTTTTAGAAGTGTTTCGAGTATTGGAAGAAGAGCTGGCACATGTGCATAATATCCAATGGGGACTATTTTGAAGGCGACAACATTAATGTAGACGAATAAATAAATATTTGTTTCAAATAACGAAAATTCCCGATATTTTCTGAACACACCTCGTACATCAATATTTTGCTTGGGTAGCAACAAAAAATAAATGTTCCTTCAAAACGATTCACCCCAATATATATACAATAAACCAATCATGTCCATTTCTGACATCCACCTACTAAAAATCTTATTTCTATTTTGCCTTTTCGAAATTTTTAGGCCTTGATGGATCTGTTCTATCAAGACGAAGGCGGGGGAGTGGGCACGGAACGGGAAACGCCCATGGTGGTACCGTCAGCGCCCAGAACAAGTCTCACCTACGAAGAAATAGTGCGCGAACTGATAGCTAGCGAGAAAGCTTATTTGAAGGAGCTGCACATGCTGATAAAAGTTTTTCGCGAGGAGATCATCAAGTTGGGTTCCGATGCCAGGGAGATCGAGCTGATTTTTTCCAACATCATGGACATTTACGAGTTGACGTACACGTTGTCTGGGAGTTTGGAGGACGTTATCGAGATTGCGCAGGACCAGACGCCCTACATTGGGAGTTGCTTTGAAGGTTAGTTTTCCGTATTATATGAACGTTTGTACGTAGTACTGCAGTTACCTAAATAAATTTTACTGATAAAGCGCTAAAAATTTTGATTAACACAAAAAATACTGTGTTTAATATTTTATTGGATTGCACTAAAAAAATATGACGTAATCTGAAATAAACAAGGGTATCATTTTTTTAAGTATATTTTGAAAATTGGATAAATTTTTTATGGGAGGGAAAAACCAAAATAACACTGGTTTAGAGCCATTTTGCCCACCATGTCTCACTATGATTTTCTTGTGTAGTTTGGCTCACTAAATGCGAAAATCACACTTAATTTTTTTTTATTGATGAGTTTTCAAGATATGAATTTTCAATTGTTTTTCTTAGGTGTTTTGACGAAAACTAATATTTTAAAAAACGCTTCCTTAAAAAAAATTGTAATTTTCGTGTTTACTGGGTCAAAATACATAAAATACATAAAAATTATTATAATTAAAACTAGTTTAATTATAAATGGGAAAATTCACATTTGACAAATTTTCCCTGAAACTTTCCATAAAAAATTTCCGAAACTTTTCGAAAGTTTCAATTGAGTTTTTTGTGCCAGTAGGGCAATTTCGCATGCGTACGTTAATAAAGCTCTTATCCCACTTATATCGTAAATAACGATTAATCAATGTTATTCTGCAAGATTTGCTGTGACGAAGAAATCACTATATTACTTACTCTCTAAAAATGAATTAGTCAAAAATGTCATAGCGAAAAAGCAGCCACTAATAATTCTCTTCAACATCAATTTGTATCCAGGACATTTAGCAGTCAAAAGTTATAAAAGTAGAACAGTTTTTGAAATATTATTATCAATTTTACATATAATATGGAATTGACTATATCTCAATAACTGCTTAACTTTTATAGTTCTTGGCGGTCTTTACGGATTCAGGGGACAATTTTACATAAGAATTGGCTGGCAAATGTCCGGGATATAAATAGAGTATGATATTGGACATATTATGTCCAATAATAGAAATTTAGATTTTTTTCCAACCAGTAATTGGACACTGGCCATTTTACTGTTTGTTTTCAGAATTAAAATTAAAACGCATTAAAGTGACAATGTTGAACGAGGAACACATTTATACCACAAACTGATCTGTACACTTTTTAGAAATATTTATATGGTAATTTAAACACAGCCCTGCTCTTAACAAAAAAACAACGTGCGAACTTTTTTGTCCTATATTGAGATAGTAATAATTGTATACAGCGTCATTTAATGATTTGACTTTGTTTTTACAGTATTAATGTAAATTGTCCAATAACTATAAAGTGCAGAAAAGTGTTACTAAAAGGGTTTTTTGCAAACGACTTATGAATTTTGATGATGTGATCTTCAACAAACTAATCATAGAACATAACTAATACTATGTAGTATACTACTTATTATTCTTTAAATTAACACAAATTAAGTTCTTATTTAGTTTCTTGGCTTTAACTTCGCAAATCAGCTGTTACAACAATTGACATTTACATAAAAAACGGAAAAGTTTCCGGGAATGTTTTCGGTAACATTAAAAGAAACTTTCAAAATAAAAATAAATTCCCGACTGGAAACTTTCCAAAATGAAAACTTTCCGATTTCCGTCTCTAGTTATAATTAGGGTTGGGAAAATTTCACTTTTTGCTTGTACTTGAAATTTCACTTGAAATTTTCATGACATTTATGAAATTTATTAAAATTTCCTAAATTTCTGAAATTTCATGAAATTTATTGAAACTTTCAATAAATTTCAATCATTTTAAGTGTAATATATTAATATTGAAATAAGCCCACTCAGGGACCATGGCAAATTGCCTCTCTTACCTCCTACCTCTCTGTGCCTGCACCAATAATATAAATAGTAAATACCTATGTTTACCACAAATTTCTTTGGATTTCCTTTTAAAATATTTTTAAAATTACCAAAAATAAAAGAGATATAGCACTTTTTGGTAAGCTAATGAAATTGTGCCATTTTTAAATATTTTACTGAAATTTTACGAAAATTGAAGAAACTCAAAATTTTATGAGCCAAAGGCATTTTTATCCGTTTTCAGATGCAATTATAGCAAAAGTAAAAGTTTAAATTAATCATGACTTTTAAAAAAATTTTAAGCTCTGATTTAATTTACAAATTAAATTGGTAACTGAATTAAATTATTTAAATTAATTTATGCATATAAGTAACAATAATTACTTATATTGTATTCAAATCCAAGCCAAACTAAACAAAAACGCTCAGACCATAACTCGTTCTTATTGGTCGATTCGGAATCTGTTGTAAATTATTATTAAAGGTCCCAGGGGAGGACGCATGTGAAATTTATGCGAAATTTTCAGTAAATTGCGAAACTTTCAATGAAATTTCTGAAACTTTCACAGGCAATGTTGAAATTTTCGGATTGAAAATTTCATATGAAATTTTTAAAAATTTCACTTTTCCAACTAAATGAAATATTTCAAGTTTGAAACTTTCAAAGTTGAAATTTTCATGATAAAATATTGACCCACACACGTTTTACTGCAGAACTCGCCGAAGCAGCCGAATTCGACGTCTACATAAAATACGCCCGCGACGTGTCGGCGCCCTCGTGCAGGGACACCCTCAACAACCTGCTTTCGCGGCCCGAGGTGGAATCGACTTTAAACACCGCCGGCCAGGGCATGCGCCTCGCCCTCAAGTACTATCTACCCGCCCTTCTGATGGGCCCCATCTGGCACTGCTTCTCCTACCTGGACTACATCAAGCTGCTGATCGGGCTGAGTCCCGCCCTGGAGGACAAGGAGATCCTCACGCAGGTGGAGGGGCTGCTGAAGCCGCTGCAGTTGGAGCTGAGTGAGTGAAATCGCGGATTTTCTTATTTTGAATCGCGAAATGTACGTTGTTTTTTTTTAGGTCGGTGCGCCCCCACTCACGTTCTGCCTAGGAGCTCGGCCCCCCTTCCGCAGGTCAGGGCGAGGAGACAGGCGGCCCTCACGAAAATCAACGAGTTGGAGACCAAGGTGGAGAATTGGGATGGGAGGGATTTGGGGCAGTGCTGCAATGAGTTTGTCAGGGGTAAGTCATGTTTTTCCTAACATACCGTGCTTTCATTTTGCATTCGGTTTTAAAGAGTGGGAGAATAAATTTTAAAAGAGACGGTTTTCGTTATTCAGCAGTAGATCCTTCACTGGCGTTGGGCGATACCTTATATTATTTTTACGTTGACGTGCTTTGTATTTTTTGGAAGCAAATAAACTATATTATTATTATTATTATTCGAAGTTTGCTCTGGATTATTAATACGAATTACGCATTATTAAGTTAATTTACTTTTAAAAATGAGCGAGCTTACCTTAAGGATTTTCTTATAAAATCTCGGGCGCCAGCTTCGTTAGACAGTGGAGAAAGGATATTCCAGGGGTCAGTTAGCTTATATTACGATTAAAATGCAATGGTTTAATTTAATACATATATTGAAATAAATATAAAACTCTATATACAAAACAAATAATAATTTAAACAATAAGGAAAGGTGGAACACTCAGTATATTAATATAGGGTCTAAATTAACAAACGAAAGTAATAGGAAAATGATATAATATTAAATTAAATTAACTAAATAAAATAATATTGACACCAAAAGTAAATTAATAAAAAAACGGGAACAATGAATATAAAAACTGAAGGTCACATTCTAGCAAATATTAATACGGAAATGCAATGCAATTAAATAAACCAATGCTGTAAATGAAATGAATTAGTACGGGTAGAAAATACTACGGGAAAATACTTTCACTCATACCTAGATTCGACATGACTGATATAACTGTTGGCGGTGCGTCATTACTTACTATAATTCGGGTTTACTGGGTCATGCTGACGGGAACAAAAGAGCCGGAACACAAGAGAGCCGGAACAAAAGAGAGAGTTTTAATTGCTCTGTTCGGCCTTTTATATCATCTCAGGTGCGCAATGGCTACATCAGGGAACCAAAAGGCGCAGCTCCCCACTTGTTTGAATAGAGTGGAAGTGGAACCATGACGTCGCAGATCCACTTGTACGAAAATCTATATACAGGGTGTACAAACGGCGGTAAATATGGGAAAATTGAAGTAACTTCGTTACACACCTACAATGTATACAAATATATTTTCCCTATGTATAGCTTGCAAATGAAGGTACGGTATACAAACTGGAAAAAGTTAACAAGTTTAATTGTATATAGGATCCTTTACAGTCATCACGATATGCTAAACCAGCTATAATCCTTATGGCTTTGTAAACTAAAAATTCTTTTCTTAATGGTCGAGTGGCCCCATGAAAGGATACCATACCTTAATATTGATTCTATTAAAGAAAAAAGGCAATTCTAAGATATCTTTGCGATAGTTTATTTGATAAACTACGCAGCAAATATATATTGGAGTTGAGTTTAGCAGCAATCGCCTCTCCTTGACTAAACCAAAGAAGACGCGAGTCCAAATAAACTCCCAGAAACTTTGTACTGGAGGCTTCAAGTTAAAGTCTCTCAACGAAAAAATAACATTTACCGTCTTTTCCTTATTTAAACTTAATCGGTTCGAGTTAAACCAGTTTAAAGCCTCCGACTGCGTGCTCAGACTCTTTGACATTGCTAGTTCAAGGGATTTGTCATCAGCAAATAAAGTTATGTTATCTGCATTTAATAGGTTATTAGGCAGATCATTTATAAATATAAGGAAGAGTAAGGGTCCCAAAATTGAACCCTGCGGAACACCGTGATGCAGGGGCAAATTAGAAGAAAACTTATTTTTAAGAAGAACACATTGAGTTCTGTTTGTCAAATAAGAATTGATAAGTTTTACACTTAAGGGGGAAAAATTATAGAAGTAAATTTTCGGACTAACAAATCATGGGATATGCAATCGAAGGCCTTGCTAAGGTCCAAAAACGTACCAACCATAAACTCTCCAAGTTCAAAGCAAGTATTTACTTTATCGACAAAGGATATTATTGCATCCGACGTAGATAGTCCTTTGCGAAAGCCAAACTGTTTTTCAGTTAGAAGATTATTCTCTACAAAATAGTTTAAAATCTGCTTGAAAATGAGTTTTTCGTAAATTTTTGAAATAATAGGTAATAAGGATATTGGACGATAATTGCCCAATTCGTCTTTATTGCCTTTCTTAAAGACCGGTATAAGTATAGCAAGATATTGGAAATATACCCGAATTAATTAACTTTATCTCCACGCAGTCTATAATTTAAACTTTATTGTTGTCAACATTCGATAAAGAAATACCTTGTTATGGCCTAGGCCGATAAAAATTTTTATGAGGCAAGTAATTAGTTCGATTTTTTCTCGCTAGGGGTATTGTTTTGACAAATTAATCCTTTTCTAAGAAATTAACGTACTAAACTGGTTTAATTTATTTATAATAAGCACTAATTTGTTTGTTTTACTGTTATAACATTATAATGTTTAATATTTTTCATTAAATTATTGTAAAATTAAATATGAATAATAAAACAAAAAGTTAGGTTAGGACATTGCAATTTGACGTTTCACAGTTGTGTTTTCTTTTTCTACGATTTAAATTATCTTTAAATTTTAATTTGCTTTAAGTTTTTAGTAAAATTAAATGTTAAACACAGCGTAAACAATCCAAACTACCTATTTTTTTAATAAAAATGCAAACAAATTGAAATTAGATACCTATTTTTTAAACAATTAATTGAATTCAATGTAATAGCAAGAGGGTAAGTAGGTAAACCATTTTCTTACAAAAATCCATTTCTACTTAAATCATGTAGTTAGGTATTGTCAAACTATTACTGCTTCTAAAAGGAATAATAATTATTGTACATTTAATGTAATCTTTAGCTAATAAATAAATGAGATTAAAAAAAGTGAGGTTAGGGCGCTTTCATGTTGAATTAAATTGACCCATATAAAGTGCTTTGAAGATAAAATGTTGTATGCCATTCGGCCAAGAAGTGTCTTTTTGTGCTTCGCTCAATTGTAGGCCTCCGCTACGCGTCGGCCTTCAAACTTTGAGCTTAGCACAAAAAGCCTTACTTCTTAACCTAATGACATAAATAACTATTGTTAATGGATAAAGAATTATTTCCCGTACTGGACGAATAATCTCAATATTCAAATTATATATATCATTACTTTTACTTAATTTAAGTTCTTTAAAGATGTCACGAACCTCGTTGTAGGTGACTTCTTTAATAGTAAAATAATAGTTTAAATTTTTGTTTAAATTTAACATAAAATAGCAAGTTTTGAAAATAATGGCATCAAATGACATCACCATTCAAGGCTTGATTGCATTTCCCCCGTTACAGAGGGCGTGCTGCAGAAGGTGGCCAGCTCGGGCAAACGCCTCACCGAACGTCGAATCTACCTCTTCGACGGGCTGATGGTGCTGTGCAAGCCGTCGTCGCGCCGCCAGTCCTCCGCGCACCACCCCAACAACCTCGAGTGCAAGGTCAAGGAGCGGCTCTTCATCCGCAAGGTGGAGATCGTCGACCACGCCGACACCGAGGACCTGAGGAACGCGTTCGAGATCTCGCCGAGGCACGTGCCGCCCCCGTCCGTGGTGCTGTGCGCCAGCACCGTCGAGGAGAAGAACTCGTGGATGGCGGATTTAGTGATGCTCAACACGAGGTCGATGCTGGAGCGGATCTTGGACAGCATCCTGTCGGATATCGAGCGGAAGCACCCGCTCAAGCTGCCGCCTCCCGAGCTGTACAGGTTCGCCGAGCCGGATTCCAAGGATAACATCGTTCTGGAGCAGCGGGAGAACGGCGGGGTGCCCCTCATCAAGGTGAGTTTCCAAAATACACTCACGTGCAAAATAATCGATCCACCCAAATTTTCGATGAATTTCAATCGCAAATAACTTTTTTATTTGATTTCGGATTTCAACAAATATTAGAGAATATTGTAGATACATTAATGGAAAATCGCTCACATTTTAAAAATTACTAAAAAATACACGTACGTTTATAATATACAGGTTTAAACAAAAAGATGTTTTTTACCATAAGTTTAAGACACTCTGTAGAGTGGCAAAACCGTATATTGTTCTAAATTAAGTTTTATTTATCAAGTCACATCTATTCTATAAAATATTACATGGCAAGTGTTTTAAACGTCATAAGAAGTAAAGTACAAAGGGCAACATCAGTCGGAGACATTTTTAAAAGTAAGAAGACACCTCAAAATTAACACATTAATTTACAAAAAACAATTTGATATCTTTTGAAAGCTGTATATGACATGTCCAAGTATGGGATGATTCAACAAAACTGTCACTGTCATCCTTCATAGGCTATGGATGGACCATAGCAACCTTAGTTCCTCATACAGAAAAAATATTGGAAATTGCAATGTTTTTTTTTAAAAATCCATATTTTCCAAAAAAATAAATATATCGAGGTGAACCAAAAACAAAACTGTTAAGAATAGATGTGACTTGATAAATAAAACTTAATTTAAAACAATATACGGTTTTGCCACTCTACAGAGTGTCTTAAACTTATGGTAAAAAACATCTTTTTGTTTAAACCTGTATATTATAAACGTACGTCTAATTTTTAGTATTTTTTTAAAATGTGAGCGATTGTCCATTAATTTATCTACAATATTCTTTAATATTCGTTCAAATCCGACATCAAATAAAAAAGTTATTTGCGATTGAAATTCATCGAAAATTTGTGTTGATCGATTATTTTGCACGTGAGTGTATTTTCAAATTTGCAAAATCTCTAAATTTTCAAAAATTTTAAAAATAGAGAGGGGCTAATATTAAAGTCAAACAAAATGAGTGCAACAATTTGGAAAATACAGTGTGTATTAAAACGAATAGATACACTTAAATAAAACAAGTGCCAAACCCCGCCCACTGTGGTAGGGATTGAATGCTGTTTAACGTGCGCAGTAATATTTATGATAGGCTAGGGTATTGTTTAACTGCTGCTGGTGGTCTATTTGAGCATTTAATTTAGAAAAAATGATTATTTTCGTTATTTTAGAATTATTTTTGTTTGAGAATTTATAGGTTTTATTTTTATCGAATTCGTTTGTTTTGTTTTAATGTAGTATTTTTTAAAATCCATTAAATTCCAGTTAATGGCGAAAATGTATTTCTTAAAAACTATACACATTTCCCTACGACAGCGTCGAAACTACTGAACAAACACAGTGAATCAAACTGCATGCCCTTGTATCTGGCTGCATGCCGCGCTGTTGCCATATGCTATTATTGTTTCCTAAAAGGGTTGTTTTTCTTATTTTTTAATATTAAAAGTAAGAAAATTAACTAAATCAAATTATTTTAATAATAATAATACTTAATAAGAAAATAGTATTAAAAAAACTTTAAAATCGGACAGGAAAATTTTGTCATCATATTATCTTTTACAAATTGTTCCACTCATTTTGTGACATTTTGAAAATTTGAATCTGGAATTTGGAAATTTTAAAAATCTTGTAATTTTTGAATATTTTGGAAATTTTTGAATTTTAATTATTTTGTAATTATTTACAATTTTAAAAATTTGGAAAAACTTGCATCCTATTTTTGCACTCATTTTGTTTAAAATTAATTAGCTCCTCTCTATTTCTTAAAATTTTGAAAATTTTAGAAATTTTGCATTTTAAAAATATTTTAGATTTAGAATATTGATTATTTTGTAAGTTTTAAATATTTTGAAAAATCTTATATTATATAATCTTTTTCAAATTGTTTTACTCATTTTGTATGACATTAATTAGCTCCTCTCTATTTCATAAAATTTTGCAAATTTGAAAATATTTTAGATTTTTATAATTTTATATATTTTGGAAATATTCAAATATTATATCACAAGAACTATGAATTTAATCGGTTAAACTAGGCTCAGTAGTTTTTTGTTTGGTTTTTGTTGGAAAATGTTGAATGCAAAATAATTTAATAAAATCACGAGACCGCGTAGCGGTCGAGGGGTTTTATTTTTAATTATTTTGCATGAAACTATTTTCCAAAAAGAAAAATCAAATAAAAAACTTACTGAGCATAGTTTGACAGATTAAATTTATAGGTTGAGTGACATACGTCTAGATTATTTCTCTAATTAAAGAAAACTATTTGACAATTCATAAAATCTGACGTATGTGTCAAAATTTATAAATATTTTTTTAAAGAAAATTCCATTAATTTAAGGTATGTAATAAGTAATAATTAATATTTCGTAAACTAGATAACTTATTTTTTATTGTTTTTTAAAAAATGTTTGTTAAAACTTGTAAATAACACCATAAAATCGTAAACAAAAATCCAATATGGAGGCTAAAATTTAATCGCTGTTAAATAGTTCTAGTGATTTAATCGCTTATTTAAACGAAATTTATTCGAAAATTCAAGGCTTTTGATTGGTTCATATTATAATGAGGGAAATAATCAAAACAAAATATTAATGAAAAATTTTAGTTGTCAATATCAACAATTGTTGAATAAAAATTTTATTTCTTTTATTTTTTTTTAAATTGGTACCTATTTTGGGTTTTATAGTATTAAAAAAAAATTAAAATCGGATTGGAAAATTTTGTATCATATTATCTTTTCCAAATTGTTCCACTCAATTTGTGACATTTTGAAAATTTGAATCTTCAAAATTTTGAATATTATAAAAAATTTAAAGGTTTTGGAAATTTTAAAAAAATTTCAACTCATTTGTATCAAATTACTTAGCTCCTCTCTATTTCTTAAAATTTTAAAGAAGAAATTTTGCAAATATTGAAAACTGGAAATTATGAAAATCTCACTTTTAAAAAAATTGAATTTGAAAATCTTGAATTTAGATCTTGAAAATTTTGAATATTTTAGAAATTTTGCAAATTTTAACAATCTTGTAAATTTTGAATATTTTGGAATTTTAATTATTTTGTAAATTTTAAAAATTTGAAAAAAGTTGCATTATATTTTCCAAATTGTTGCACTCATTTTGTTTGACTTTAATATTAGCCCCTCTCTATTTTTAAAAATTTTGAATATTTTAGAGATTTTGCAAATTTGAAAATATTTTGGAAAATCTTGTAGGTATATTATCTTTTTCAAATTGTTCCATTTATTTTGTACGACAAATCACAATTTTTAATTAATCTCTTATTATATTATCTTTTCCTGTTGAATTAAAATTTTACTTCATTTATTGTTTATTTTGTATAAATTGGTACCTACCTATTTTGGTTTTTATAGTAGGTATTAAAAAAAGTTTTTTTAAATTTTCGTTAAAAAATTTATAAATTGCTGGATTGCAATCCCTAGTTGCGGTTTTTTACGATTTTCGGGATGGTTTCAGGGCGCGACTCTCTGCAAACTGGTTGAAAGACTGACGTACCACATTTACGCGGATCCGAAGTTCGTGCGGACGTTCCTCACCACGTACCGGAGCTTCTGCTCGCCCAAGGAGCTGCTGAAAATGTTAATCGAGCGCTTCAGCATTCCCGAGCCGTCGCTGGTGTACGAGGACTGTAACACGGACACGGATAAGATGCAGAAGAACAACCAGAGGGAGGACTGGAAGAAGTACAGGAAGGAGTATTGCCAACCTGTGCAGTTTAGGTGAGAAACAAACAAAACGATGTACGCTCGTTTTTTTTTAATTTAAAAATATTGAAAACGTAATTATTAAAATCTTTGGAAATTTTGAAGATTTGAGAATCTCTAGATTCAGATTTTGAAACATCTTAAAATTTTTGAATATTTTAGAAATTTAAATTTAAATTCTTTGAGATTTTGAAATTATTTCAGATTTTGAATATTTTGGAAACTCAAATTTTAATTGTTTTGTAAATTTTACAAAATTTGAAAAAACTTGCATCATTTTTTCCAAATTCTTTCGCTTGTTTTGTACGACATTAATTAGCTCATTCCTATTTCTTAAAATTTTAGAAATTTTTGTAATTTTGAAAATCTAGAAATTTTGAACCGTTTTCAGATTTTAAAACTTTTCAGTGTTTAAAAATTTTGAAAATTTTAAATAATTTTGGAAAATCTTGTATCATTTTATCTTTTGAAAATTTGAAGACGGGAAATTTTGAATAATTTAAAAATTTATGTGGGTATTTTAGAAAATTTTTAATATTTTGGAAATTTTAAAATTTTGGTAAAACTTGTATAATAATCTTTGACAATAATTAGCTCTTCTATATTTCTTAAAATTTTAATAAAGAAATTTTGCAAATATTGAAAATTATGAAAATCTTGCAAATTAAATTATTTTTGAAAGTTAAAAAAAAATTGAATTTGAACTTCTTTAGATTTAGATTTTAAAAAATCTTAATTTTTTTTATTATTTTAGACATTTTTGAAAATTTTAAAAAATTTGAATATTTGTAAATTTTAATTATTTTGTAAATTTTAAATTATTCAACTCATTTTGTATGACATTAATTAGGTCCTCTTTATTTCTTAAAATATTGTAAATTTTGCAAATTTGGAAACATTTTAGAATTTGAAAATTTTGAATATTTTGGAAATATTCAAAATTTTGATATTTTGTAAGTTAAAAAAAAGATTTTAAAATTTTTTATTTTGTAAATTTTAAATTTTGGAAAATCTTGTATCACACTGTCTTTTCCAAATTGTTCCACTCATTTTGTATGACGTTTTGAAATTTTTTAAAAAGTTGTGAATATTTTGGCAATATTCAAAATTTTAAAATTCTTGTAAATTATGAAAATCTTGGGAATTATGAAAATTATATGAATCATGGAAAGTTTTTTGAATATTTTGGAAAATCTTGTATCATATTCTTTTCCAAATTGTTCCACTTATTTTGTACATTTTGAAAATTTTTGAGAATTTGAATGTTTTGAAAGTATTCTAATTTTGAAAATCTTGCAAATTATGAAAATTTTGGAAATTATGAAAATTTAAAAAAACTTGGAAATTTTGAAAAATTTATATCCTTAATATTTTAGCAACGGTACAAATTTAGTTTAATACTGTTCAACTTCGTCATTATTCTACAAAATTTTATGTATTAGAACTTATTTGAATTTAAAATATACTTGCAGCAGAAAAAAATTACCTTAAGAATCAATATAATTAAACCTAAAAGGGTTTTATTTTGTTTACTAAAGTGAGACAACTTTTGGCAGAGTGGTAATATTTTAAACATAACTCTATACATAAAGCAGAACATGAAAAAATATTTAAATTCAAACTATTTTGGTAAAAAATTTAACAACTGGTTACCCTTTTCTGACAAAATATAATAAAATACTTCTACATAACTCGAGCGCTATCAATTTAATATAAAAAATATTGTCAAATTTTATTTTGCATCTAAACATCTAAATGCTTTTCTGTATTAAATTGCGTGTTTGGACACACCGTTCTTCAGTTATTTAAAAAGATATAAGGCGCATATTTTTTAATAATATGATTTTTTGTTTGGCTATTAAACTACCAAATTAAAACTTTTAGCTTTAAAATATTCTTAATGTAATCTTTAAAAATCTTGTGGAATTTTATTAAGTCTAAGATAAAATAGTTTTAATGATTTCCTCAAGGGTACTAAATAAAACTATGTGTTCCAAAATGGATTGTTTTAAATTTAAAACCAGTGGGAACCATACTTACCATAAAGTAGTTACAACAAGAAAATCAGTCCCTTACTTTTTACAGGGTTTTAAACGTACTAAGACACTGGGTGGATCATCATTTCTACGACTTTGAAAGAGATCAGGATCTTTTGTTGGAACTGCAAAGATTTCTCGACTCCATTAATGGCAAAAGTATGCGAAAATGGGTCGACAGCATAACGAAAATCGTTCAAAGAAAGGTAATCATTCGACAAATTTGATATACACTCACAGGCAAAATAATCGATCAAATTTTTGATGAATTTCAATCGCAAATAACTTTTTTATTTGATTTCGGATTTAAACAAATATTAAAGAATATTGTAGATACATTAATGGAGAATCGCGCACATTTAAAAAATTACTAAAATTTACACGTACGTTTATAATATACAGGTTTAAACAAAAAGATGTTTTTTACCATAAGTTTAAGACACTCTGTAGAGTGGCAAAACCGTATATTGTTCTAAATTAAGTTTTAATTATCAAGTCACATATATTTTTAACAGTTTTGTTTTTGGTTCACCTCGATATATTTATTTTTGTGGAAAATATGGATTTTTTTTAAAAACATTGCAATTTCCAATATTTTTCTGTATGAAGAACTAAGGTTGCTATGGTCCATCCATAGGCTATGGAGAATGACAGTGACAGTTTTGTTGAATCATCCCATACTTGGACATGTCATACACGGCTTTCAAAAGCTATCAAATTGTTTTTTGCACATTAATGTTTAAATTTTGAGGTGTCTTCTTACTTTATAAAATGGATATGTCTCCGACTGATGTTGCCAGAGCTATTAATTTAATCCAGGATGGACGGTCACAGTATTACGTGGCAAGTGTTTTAAACGTCACAAGAAGTAAAGTACAAAGGGCAACATCAGTCGGAGACATTTTTAAAAGTAAGAAGACACCTCAAAATTAACACATTAATTTACAAAAAACAATTTGAAAGCTGTATATGACATGTCCAAGTATGGGATGATTCAACAAAACTGTCACTGTCATTCTCCATAGGCTATGGATGGACCATAGCAACCTTAGTTCTTCATACAGGAAAAATATTGGAAATTGCAATGTTTTTTAAAAAAATCCATATTTTCCACAAAAATAAATATATCGAGGTGAACCAAGAACAAAACTGTTAAAAATAGATGTGACTTGATAAATAAAACTTAATTTAGAACAATATACGGTTTTGCCACTCTACAGAGTGTCTTAAACTTATGGTAAAAAACATCTTTTTGTTTAAACCTGTATATTATAAACGTACGTCTATTTTTTAGTAATTTTTTAAAATGTGAGCGATTGTCCATTAATGTATCTACAATATTCTTTAATATTCGTTTAAATCCGACATCATATAAAAAAGTTATTTGCGATTGAAATTCACCGAAAATTTGTGTGGATCGATTATTTTGCCTGTGAGTGTATATTTAATTTATAATTTTCTCGCAGATGGAGAACGACCAGAGGCACATAAAGTTCGCGTTCGAAGACCCTCCCCCGCCCATAGAGCGCCACCTGCTGTGCAACGAGGAAGACTACGGCATCCTGACGCTCCACCCCGTGGAAATAGCCCGGCAACTCACCATACTGGAGTTCGAACTGTACCGCACCATAAAACCCTCGGAACTGGTGGGGTCCGTCTGGACGAAGAAGAACAAGGAGCTCACGAGTCCGAACCTTTTGAAAATGATCAAGCACACGACAAACGTGAGTGTATAATAATCTTTATTCATGTTAATATTTACAGTTACATTTACACAAGTCAAGGAAAAGAGTTTTTATTTACAAAATAATGTCAAATTTTTATAAATAGTTCTAAACTAAAGCTGTTTAACAAGGTTTTTATTTGGCAAAATTAGGTATCGTGGTTGACTGTTTAATTCCTTAAAAACTAATAATTTAAAGCGTAACGGACGGGACTTCGTAAGAGTCCCGCCCGTTACGCTTTAAATTATTAATTTTTAAGGAATTAAACAGTCAATCACGATACCTAATTTTGCCAAATAAAAACCTTGTTAAACAGCTTTTGTTTAGAACTATTTATAAAAATTTGACATTGGTAATATAATAGAACAATATTATTTTGTAAATAAAAACACCGCAACTGTCCTATCCGTTAAGCGTGGAATGGCCCAATACAAAAATTTAAAATTTAAGGTAGGACATATACATCAAATATTTGATCATAGATCTAAAATAATAACATTATGCAGGGAAAAAAACAAGTAATAATTTTAATATTAAAATTTACAAAGACAGGTCACATGTTAAAAATTCGTTTAAACAATAAAACGCTTTACTCAGTAAAAGTTTCTTAAGACGTGCTTTAAATTGTTTTAGGGGTAACTTTTTTATTTCATTCGGAAGTCTATATTATTCCTACTTCTTGTTTGATAATGGTGTATGTTGTTTTGTGTATTATACAAGGTTTACGAAAAGTTTCGGGTGGAGATCTTTTTTTTTTTTTTAGTTTACGAGATGGTTGGAGAAGAACATTGTGGACACAGAAAACATCGACGAAAGGGCGGCCATTTTGAACAGAATCACCGAGATAATGATCGCACTGAACGAAATCAACAATTTCAACGGCGTTTTGGCGGTAGTTTCGGCCACTGGCTCTGCCGGAGTGCATCGGCTGAAATTCACGTTTCAGGTGAGCCAAATATTATCAATTTAATATACAAGGTGTCCCTAAACTTATTGGCATAAATTTAGGAAAAGATAGAGCAAGTAAAAATAGGTCGAAAACCTAAACAAATATTTTTCCTAATTACTTATGTTTCCAAGATACAGGGTGATAAAGTGTTACTTATCATATCAGTTTTTTTAATATAACTTCTACTATAGGTAGTCTTGGATATTCACACATAATTACAATTGTTTAAGTGAACACAGTGTCGTAGAAACGGGGGTTGCTTTAAGCTTATTGTCCCATACAAACTTTGAGGTTAGGTTTTTATAACATTTGATGGAATTTTTAGATTACACAGTTCGGCTATCATTAAAAAGGTGTACCTCTCAAACTTCGATAAAATAAATCGTTTCCGAGATATTCGAGATTACAATAATTGTTATATCGCATTATTTAAAAGGATTAAAAGGTATATGATAACAAATTTATTTTTTAATTGAAAAAACTAAAAAGGGCATTTTATGAGCCTCGGGACTTTTTGCCCTGACCGTCACATTAAAAAAAATGTAGTTTTTTCAATTAAAAAATTGTTATCATATACGCTTTTAGTCCTTTAATGACATATAACAATTATTGTAATCTCGAATATCTCGGAAACGGTTAATTTTATCGAAGTTTGAGAGGTACACCTTTTTAATAGTAGCCGAACTGAGTAATCGAAAAATTGCATCAAATGGTATAAAAACCTAACCTCAAAGTTTGTATGGGACAATAAGCTTAAGCAACCCCTGTTTCTACGACACTGCGTTCACTCGAACAATTGTAATTATGTGTGAATATGTGTTTTGGTAGTAAATGACTGTTCGCAAAATATCACCTTTCCAAGGTCTACCACAGTAGAAGTTATATTAAAAAAAACTGCACGAATGCATTTTGTTAAAAAATATTACTTAGCATTGTATTTTTTTGTTTTTTTTTTTCACAGGAAAAATTATATTCCCGAATGGTATTTGACAATACTATTTCATGAGTAACAGTTAACAATTAAAATATAAATTAAAATTTTTGGTGACAACAGCTGTCAAGTTTTGCCTCGGGTAAACTCGAAAAAACTGCTGACAGGTGCTGTCATACAGTTTTTTCACCTAGAAACCATTTGTAATTCAAAATTGTGCGTTTGTGATTGGTTGAAATTAAGACGAGGGAAATAGTCAGAAAAATTGACTTTTGTATTTTTTTTATTTTATTCAATGTGTAATACGAAAAAATGCAAAAGTCAATTTTTCTGAATATTTACAATTTTTTACGGATTGCTTTTTCCGGTAAAGTTAAGCCGGCGGAAAAAAACCGGTTTTTTTTCGAAAAAGTAGTGAAATTTTCATAAAAATTGATTTTTTTCTTTCTTTTTATTTTAAGGGTAAAACTGCCCTACTATGGGGAAAGGCAGTAACTGCAAAAAAATGCAAAATGCGTTTTCTTGTGCTATGGTAAAGCTATGGCCATTTTTTAACCGAATTCAACACAGAAATTCAGTCAAATATCTCATAAGTTAAAAAAATCAATTAAATACCCACTGCTTTTTATAAAAATGTAGTTTATGCTAATTTCTTGTTTAGCAGTTACTGCCTTTCTCCATAGTAGGGCAGAATACGAAAAAATGAAAGTCAATTTTTCTGAAAATTTATAAATTTTTACGGATAATTATTATACCCGTACCCTTAAAGAAAAAAAATTTGCCTTTTCAGTAAAAATTCGACAATTTTCAAAGGGGATAACGGCCATTTCAAGCGCGCGAAACGCACGAATTACAAAACTGTTTTTATAAAAAAAATTGTAAATTATTTATTATATAATATTTTGGCATCAAAATTGTCAAAAATATTCTTCTTTTATTAGGTTATACATTAAATAAAAAAAAAAAACGCAAGAAATATTTTATGAAAGTAGATATAATTTTAATAATTGAAAGGGGTGGACGGGACAAAAAAAGATTTATCTTGTCATTTATTGAAATTATCTCTACTTTTATAAAATATTTCTTGCGATTTTGTTTATGTAATGTATAGCCTAATAATAGAAGAATATATTTGACAATTTTGATGCAAAAATAATATATAATAAATTACCTACAATTTTTTTTATAAAAACAGTTTTGTGATTTGTCCCGTCCATCCGCTTGAAATGGCCGATAAGGCAATTTTTCAATAGAGCCTTTAACGTGTTCGCATTAATTCAGGAAATATATTTATGTTTAGCGGGTATACGCTTTTGTTAGCTATGAAATGTGCTAACAAAAAGGTATACGCGCTAACCATAAACATGTTTTCTGAATTAATGCGAATACGTTTAAGGCTCTACTGAAAAATTGCTTTTTTTGACTTATCCCCTTATGCCTTTTGCCCACAGAATGTTTGTTTTTTTTAGGGTTTTAAAATTTCCGATAAAAAAAAACGGAAAAATTGGGAAATTTTCAGAATAATTTGAATTTATATTTATATATATATATTTATACATACATAGGGTGGTCCAATGAAAAGTTATCACCCCATGCTTAAAAAAAATAAAAACGTTCGCACACGTCTATTTTTAATTATAGTGGGACAATTTATTTCATTGTTTAAAAAATTGATTTAGTATAAGCTATATTTTATTACAATAAAATATGATATTTTATTATAATAAAATATGAATTTCATTTAAAATATAATATTTATAAAATAAATTTGGTATTGCAATTACAATATTTTTGCCTTTACGGCCGCTCATAACATTTTTTTGAACCCAATTTTTCAAAAAATACAAAACATATTAGTAAATTAAATGTACATAATTTAACTATGGTTTTTGCTGTTTTTGTGGTTATGTTTAAATTATTGTAGGTTACATTGAACGGTTGTCAAGTTGAGTTGTCAACATTCATAGTTAAAAATGCAATTAATTTGTCTTTGGTGGTGCGTAGATGAGTAAAATCATATAAAAAAGTAGTTAAATATGGGTGACTACGGCCCAGGAGAGACAAAGTATTCCTAGCGGATAATAATCTTTGCTTTGAAAAGAATTTATATAAAAGAAATTAAAATTTTATGTGAAAACGCGTGAATGTTGTCCAATCATTGTCCAATCATGGTGAATGGGTATTTTGTTACTTGTAGTGGCTTAATAATAATTATAATGGATATATTGTCCAGGACTATTAATGATCAGTAACTTGCAAATTTAAAGAACAAAAAGTTTCGTGATTATTGCTTATCTTTTTCAAACCAAATGGATTCTATTTTCAAAGACAGGAAAATTAACTGTTAGATTTTTCACAAAAAGGTTGAACAGCAGCAAATAATTTTTATTTTTTGTTTATTTATTTCCCCCTTATTTTTTAAAATTTCAAAAATATTTGATCTGCTTAGCTGAAAATAATGTGTGATTTAATATATGTAAAACCAAAAACGTTACTTTTTTACTCCAAACATGTTTTGGCTTAACTTCATCGAAATGAAGTTTTGCCCTTAAAAGTTTTTTTACTTTAGAATCTGATATTATTTTTGGCATATGTATCTTTTTAACTTTTTACGTTTTTCACAGCGGCTTACAGAACAAAACCGCAAAGCTCTGGACGACTGCAGATCGGACGATCATTTCAAAAAGTACCAGGAAAAACTGCGTTCCATAAATCCGCCTTGCGTTCCCTTTTTGGGGATGTACCTGACGAATATTTTGCACATTGAAGAGGGGAATCCGGACTGTCTGCCCAACACGGAGCTGATCAACTTTTTCAAGCGGCGAAAAGTGGCGGAGATCACCGGAGAAATTCAGCAGTACCAAAATCAGCCTTATTGTTACAGCGTGGAGCCCAAAATTAGGGTGAGTACCAAAATAAACTATCAAAATGGCCAAAATCCTTGCAAAAAAATTAATAAAGGTATCATTACGATATAAAATTAGAACACCACTTTGTATAGTGAATAAATAACTTGACTTACCTGACAAGACATTTTTTTGGAAAATCGTCGATAATTTTTTTGTTTTAGAAGATTTATATAAACTGCAAAAAGCATTTAAAAGATTTTTTGCTTAGACAGTAGACCCTCAAAAAATTGTCAAAATTGGTGAAAAATTATCAGACTTACATAACAAGACATGTTTTTGAAAAAAGTCGTTAATTTTTGTATTAAAAGATTTAGAAAAACTGCAAAATGAATTTAAAAGAGTGTTATTTGAACAATGGACCCTTACAAAATTGTCAAAATTTAAATAAATTACAAGACTTACAAGACGAGAAATTTTTTTGGTTTAGACCCTCAAAAAATTGCCAAAATTACTGATAAATTACCAAAGAAAAACTTTGGTAATTTTTTTGTTTTAGAAGATTTAGAAAAACTGCAAAATGCATTTAAAAGAGTGTTATTTAGGCAGTAGACCCTCAAAAAATTGTCAAAACCGGACTTACATAACAAGACGTTTTTTTGGAAAAACGTCGGTCTTTTTTTGTTATAGAAGATTTATAAAAACTGCAAAAAGCATTTAAAATAGTGTTGTTTAGACAGTAGACCCTAAAAAAATTGTCAAAAATTGTGATAAATTACCAGATTTACATAACAAGACTGTTTTTTGAAAAAAAAGTCGGTAATTTTTTTGTTTTAGAAGATTTATAAAAACTGCAAAAAGCATTAAAAAGAGTGTTATTTAGACAGTAGACCCTCAAAAAAATGTCAAAACTGGTGAAAAATTACCAGAATTACATAATAAGACATGCTTTTGAAAAAAATCGTTAATTTTTTTGTATTAGAAGATTTAGAAAAACTGTAAAATGAATTTAAATATTATTTGAACAGTGGACCCTTACAAAATTGTCAAAATTTAAATAAATTACCAGACTTACAAGACGAGGCATTTTTTTGGTTTAGACCCTCAAAAAATTGCCAAAATTACTGATAAATTACCAAAGAAAAACTTTGGTAATTTTTTTGTTTTAGAAGATTTAGAAAAACTGCAAAAAATTGTCAAAATTGGTGATAAATAACCCAGACTTACATAACAAGACATTTTTTTGGAAAAACGTCGGTCTTTTTTTGTTATAGAAGATTTATAAAAACTGCAAAAAGCATTTAAAATAGTGTTGTTTAGACAGTAGACCCTAAATAAATTGTCAAAAATTGTGATAAATTACCAGATTTACATAACAAGACTGTTTTTTGAAAAAAGTCGGTAATTTTTTTGTTTTAGAAGATTTATAAAACCTGCAAAAAGCATTAAAAAGAGTGTTATTTAGACAGTAGACCCTCAAAAAATTGTCAAAATTTGTGATAAATTTTTTTGTTTTAGAAGATTTAGAAAAACTGCAAAATGCATTTAAAATATTGTTATTTAGACAGTAGACCCTTAAAAAATTGTCAAAATTCGTGATAAATTTACCACACTTACATAACAAGACAATTTTTGGAAAAACGTCGTTCATTTTTTTGTTTTGGAAGATTTAGAAAAACGGCAAAATGCATTTAAAAATTTTTAGACAGTAGACCCTCAGAAAATTTTCAAAATTGTTTAAAAATTACTAGACTTACATAACAGGACTTTTTTTAATGATTGTAAATTTTAACAGATTAAAAAAAACAAAATGGATTTAATAAATCGTTATTTTGACAGTGGGCCCTCAAAAAAACTGCAAAATACATTTAAAAGATTGTTACTTATGTAGATAGTAGATTCTCAAAATTTGTGATTAATTTTCAAAGATCTTGTTCACAAGACTTTTGTATACAAAATTTATATAATTAGAGCACCACTTTGTATTATTGCGAATAAAATTTGTTTTTAACTATAAAATTATAACTAGATAAACGCCTTGGCCTTTATTACAGAAAATATTTAAAAAACTTTATTAGTTTTAAAGTTACAGCTATTTTAACTTAATTAATTAAAAAAAAAATGGTATTTTTATTGATTCCAAATTTGGTCCGCGGTTGTTACTTCTGTAGATATATTTATTTTGGTTATACCTAAATTTTCGTTATTTCGTACAACTTTTTCTCTTCACATAACAGAACTTCCTGGAAACACTGAACCCGTTCCCCGATCAAAACGACACGGAGATCTGCAACTACATCTACAGCAAATCGCTGGAGATCGAGCCGAGAGACGCCAAAGTGGTGCCGAAATTTCCGAGGAAGTGGCCGAACCTCAGCCTGAAATCGCCCGGCATCAAATCGAAAACGATCAGGAGCACGGCCAGCGCGGTCAGCAACGTCATCAATTCCACTCTGAACTCCACCATCAAAAATAACGACGATTCCTCTTCGAAGAGCAACGACAGCTCAAAGTCCGAGAACGATTTCAGCGTGTTTGCACCGGTAAGACATTTTTAACATATTACCTAAAATTGCCCACGGTGCTGTTCTGAGAGGTGATTTTTGGACTTTCTGTGAAACCTAATTTTTTTTATATTCTTGTTAATTAGGCCATAACTAAAATTTTAAGAGCAAAATAAAAAAAAAATTGACGGTTAATTTGGTTTTAATTGGATGTTTATTAAAAATATGTATGCACACTTTCAATTTTCCAATTAAAACTTGCGATTTTATTTAAATATTATCATAACTTTTTAAATCAGATTAAAGATTAGTTAATTTCCTAAAAAAAGTCTATACATTTTTTATATCTTTTACTGTTTTGTTGTAATACACGTTTAAAGTTTTAATTTAAGGTTAAATGTATAGTATACATTTATTAAACAATAATTCTAAGGGTGCCACATTTTATTTAGGGCCGATTTATTCATTTTTGATTTATTTGACGAATAATTTCTTTGGATACTAGATATTGCCAAGACATGAAAGTTATCGGCCCGATAAACTTTACTAAAGATGAATAAACCGGTGCTTAGTTAAATTTCATGAATTTCTTCGTAACTTTTAGTACAATTTTTCATTTTTGTTTATAAAAAACACTTTAAAAAACTAAACAAAAATTATAGAATACGTATACTGAAAATGACAATTCAAACATCAAATAAATTTTTAATAGATCTAAGTTTCATGGCAACCTTTAAGGATATATTAATTAAGGGAACATAAATGTATACGTCAAAGGTTAGATTAAAAGTTTGAACGTTTATTGCAACAAAACAGTAAAATTTATAAAAAAAATTGTAAAATCCTTTTTTTTTTAGTTATGCAAATATTAAATATTTAAATTAAATCGCTAGTTTTAATTGGATAATTGAAAGAGTGCATATTATTTTTAATAAACAGCCAATTAAAACAATTCAAACCGTCAAATTTTTTTTATTTTGCTCTTAAAATTTTAGTTATGACCTAATTAACAAGAATATAAAAAAAAATTAGGTTTCACAGAAAGTCCAAAAATCACCTCTCAGAACAGCACCGTGTGCCATTAATATCCTAAATTTCTTTTTTAAAGAGTAATTTAAAAAAAATATATTTTTAGGTTTTAGTTTATTAAATTCTTTTTAAAATGATATATCACAATCTACTACTCTGAATTCAGAGTTGCGAATAATGCATTATTTTTTTAATTAATTGAGATTATTTACTTAAAAATGTTGATGATAAAGTGAGTGACGTCAAAACCTTTTATTTGCCTGCCCAAAAGAATGTTTTTCAACTCTGTTTCTTTAGGTTCAAATTGGTACTGGTTCTAACAGCCCCACCCTGAGTCCTGTTTCTCCAGCAGGATCCACTATGATGTCGTTTCCTGGTCACCATACCAGGAGTTCCAGCGTGTCCTCTATACTCCCAGTACTGAGGCCCAACAGGGCCGACCACCACATGTAAGTATTAAATCAATTAGATAATTGTTTTGGTAAAAAAACAAGTTCTAAACAATTTAATCTTGCCAAAACCATATTATACAATGGTAAATGTTTTTTAAAATGTGAAACTGAACTAGAAATGTTAAAAACACAATTTAGTATTTCAAAAATATAATTTAAAATGTCCAAAACAAAATTTAAAGTTAAAAGTATGGCAAGAAATTCAAACACAAATTTTATCTATACAGGGTTACTTTGTTTTTAATTTACACTTAAAATGTTAAACGTATTTAAGAACGTAAAAACTTCCTAGGCATTTTAATAATGTTAAAAATACATTTTAGAATGTTATTAAAAGTGTTATTTTAACAGGAGTCTCTTATAAACTTGTCAAAATTGATGATAAATTACTCAGTAATTTTTTTGTTTTAAAAGATTTGGAAAAACTGCAACAAATATTTATAAGAATGTTATTTAGACATTAGACCGTCAAAATTTGTGATAAATTACAAGATTTACATGACAAGACATTTTTTTAAAAATTGGGTAATTTTTTTCTTTTAGAAAATTTATAAAAACTGAAAAAAAAACATTTGAAAGAGTGTTATTTAGACAGTAGACCCTCACAAAATTGTCCACATTGGTGATAAATTACCAGACTTACATGATAAGACAATTTTTTTAAAAGTCGGTAATTTTTTTGTTTTAAAAGACTTGGAAAAAACATTTATAAGAATGTTATTTAAACATTAGACCCTCAAAAAGTTGTCAAAATTTGTGATAAATTACAAGATTTACATGACAAGACATTTTTTAAAAAAAGTCGTTAACTTTTTTCTTTTAAAAAAATTATAAAAACTGAAAAAAAACATTTGAACGAGTGTTATTTAGACAGTAGACCCTCAAAAAATTGTCAACATTGGTAATAAATTACCAGACTTACATGATAAGACAATTTTTTTTTAAAGTCGGTAATTTTTTTGTTTTAAAAGATTTAGAAAAACGGCAAAAAACATTTATAAGAGTGTTATTTAGACGTTAGACCCTCAAAAAGTTGTCAAAATTTGTGATAAATTACAAGATTTACATGACAAGACATTTTTTTTAAAAAGTCGGTAATTTTTTTCTTTTAAAAAATTTATAAAAACTGAAAAAAAAACATTTGAAAGAGTGTTATTTAGACAGTAGACCCTCAAAAAATTGTCAACATTGGTGATAAATTACCAGACTTACATGATAAGACAATTTTTTTTTAAAAGACGCAGTATTTTTTTTTGTTTATATGATTTACATCACGGGATATTTTATGTAAAAAACGACAATTGGTGAGAAATTTTTTTTTGGAAAAGACGCCAGTAATTTTTTTTTTGTTTTACATGACTTACATGATGAGACATTTTTTTGTTTTATACTTAAAAAAATGGTGATAAATTACCAAAATCACATGACAATTCTTTTTTTGGAAAAGATTTAAGAAAAATTTTAAAATGCATTTAAAAGAGTGTTATTTAAACAGTAGATTCTTAAAAAGTTGTTGAAATATGTGATAAATTACCAGACTTACATGACACGGTAATTATTTTGTTTTAAAAGATTTAGAAAAACTTCAAAATTCATTTAAAGGATTGTTATTTAGGCAGTAGACCTTCAAAAAATTGTCAAAATTGGTGATAAATTACTTTACTTACAGGAAAAGACATTTTTTTTGGAAATACGTATGTATTTTTGTGTTTTAGAAGATTTAGAAAAATCTCAAAATGCATTTTTTTTACAGTAGACCTTAAAAAAATTGTCAAATTTTTGTACTGAAATTTCATGACAGGACATTTTTTTTAAACGACCGTAATTTTTTTGTTTTAAAAGATTTCGAAAAACTGCAAATGTATTTAAAAGTTCAAAATTGGTAATAAATCACTAGACTTTTATAACAAGAATTTTTTTTAAATCTAAATTTTATCATTTTAATAATTTCAAAAACTTAACTAAAAATGTTAAAACCACAATTTAGAATGTAAAACTCACATTTAAGAATATTATAAACACATTTTAAATGTCACTAACAAATTTTAAAATGCCGAAAACGATTTAAGAATTTTAAACATAATTTAAAGGTTAAAACCTACTTAATGTCAAGACTTACTTAATAATATTGTAAAAAACACAATTAACAATTTTTTCTACCTCCACCTTTAAAATTATCGTACATGTTTTCCACATATCAGAGTGCGTTTAGTCACGGGCTGAAGTTAGCAACAGGTTTTTAGTCACGGGCTGAAGTTAGTTGACATTTGTCAAATATCATACAATCGTTAAAATAAAGTGCCCTGTCTTTAAAAATAATACTAAATGTGAAAATTATTTTATTATCTCAGTACAAAAATAAAAATTCATTAAATAGTTTCTTGTCGCCAATATATGAAAAGATTTTGATTTCGCCGTAGTAGTGCAGTTAACAAGATTTAACTGATAAAGCGTTAAAATATTCTCTTTTCTTTTACTGTTAAAAACTGCTTCTATATCGATTGTTAGTCTATTTTTAAGGGATAAATTTTGATTTACACGGAAAAATTTAAGATTTTAACGCCGGTAGATTCTCAAGTTAGAAATTCTAACGGGAATTCTAGTAAATACAACTGTCACGTGTACCTTTAACATTTCCGTTTAAGAATTTTTAATACATTGTGATAATATTTTTCTTAACATAATAAGGATGCATACTATACTATTAAACACATCTTTAAATTAAGTGTTAAAAAGTTTTTAATAATAATGAAAAAACACGATTTAGAATTTTAAAAACACCCCTGAGTTGTCATAAACATTTTAGAGTATCAAATAGAGGTTTACAAAACATATTAAACCGACTTACCACAATTTAAAAATGTTAAAAATAGTATTTTTAAAATAAATTCCAAAATTTTAAAAACACATTCTAGATTTTAAAATGTACTGTTTTAGAAGTTACTTAAGATTCTTTTTCAGTCCTCAGAGGACTTCGCACCCCGAGTCAGAGCTCAACAGGTGGCGGCGGTCCGAACAGCCCAGGGCCGCATTCGCCCGCGTCTCCAGGACCGGGCTCGCAGCCGAGCAGCCCCAGACTGTTGCCGGCTTCAGCGCAGCAGCAGAGGCCCCCGTTGCCCCCGCGGCGCAGGGACAGTCCCGAGATCAGTTCTCCTCAACAGGTATGTGCAAAGAAACTATAAATTGTTGCGGCAATATGCTAATGTGTCAATATAATTGAAGAAATATGTTAAGTGAAGGTTTGATTTTCTAAATTTTAAAAGTGTTATAACTAAATTTTGAAAGATATAAAGAAACCGCAAAATAAACTTACATACCTAGCGAGAAATTTTTTTTTTAACAAACATTCTTGATTTTTTTGTTTAAGAATATTTGGAAAAAATGACAAATGCATTAAAAATAGCGTTATTTTGACAAAGACCCTTTAAAAATTGTCTAAATTAGTGATAGACTTGCATGACAAGATTTTTTTTGGAAAAACGTCTGTGAATTTTTTGTTTTAGAAGATTTAGAAAAAATTCAAAATGCATCTAAAAGAGAGATATTTTTACAGTAGACCATCGAAAAACTATTAAAATTCGTGATAAATTACTAGACTTACATGACGAAAGATTTTTTTTTGAAAAGATGTCAGTATTTTTTTCCTTTTACATGACTTCCATTACGAGACATTTTTATGGTAAAACGACAAAATGCATTTAAAAAAGCGTTATTTTGACAGTTGATCATTAAAATTTTTTTAAATTTGTGATAAATTAATTACTAAACTTACATAGGTACATGACGAAACAATTTTTTTTAAACGTCAGTAATTTTTTTGACCTTCAAAAAATTATAAAAATTCTTGATAAATTACATGACAAAACATTTATTTTTGGAAAAGACTACAGTAATTTTTTTGTTTTACATGGCTTTCATGACGACATTTTTATGGAAAAACGACAAAATGCATTTAAAAAAGCGTTATTTTGACAGTAGACCCTAAAAAATGATCAAAATTACTAGACTTAACATGACAAGATTTTTTTTTGGAAAAACGTCTGTAAAAATCTAAAATGCATCTAAAAGAGAGATATTTTTACAGTAGACCTTTAAAAAATCATCCAAATTTGATGAGATTTACAGGCAAGACATTTTTTTTTTGGAAATTACGTCAGTATTTTTTTTGTTTTTATGACTTTCATGACGATACATTTTTTTGGAAGAACGACAAAATGCATTTAAAAAAGCGTTATTTTGACAGTTGACCTTTAAAATTTTTCTAAATTGGTGATAAATTACTAAACCTACATAGGTACATGACGAAACAATTTTTTTTTAAACGTCAGTAATTTTTTGGACCTTTTACAGTAGACCTTTAAAAAATTATCAAAATTCGTGATAAATTGCTAGACTTAAATGACGAAACATTTTTTTTTGGAAAAGACTACAGTAATTTTTTTGTTTTACAGTTGTATTCATTAAAAAAGCGTACAAGAATTAGAATGAGAGAAAACTGTCAACATTATTGCGTAAAACCGGCTTTCCACTGACTTAAGTCACTATAACTGACAGTAGAAAATAAAAATGCCTCGTCAGTTAAAAAGGCTCAAATAGTATCAAGAATCGAAGAAGAATGGTCAATTCGTACCGTGGTATAATAGAAATAAAAAATCTATATTAAAATATTAATTTAAATTAATAATAATAATAATAATAATTTAAATTAATTTTTGTAATATTATTTAATTAACCTACGACGTCAATGCTCTTTATAACCTATAGTAATTATTTTAATGACTTATGTCAGTGATAAGCCGGTTTTAAGCAATAATATTATTTTGACAGTTTTCTCTCATTCTAATTCTTGTACGCTTTTTTATTGAATACAACTGTACATGGCTTTCATGACGAGACATTTTTATGGAAAAACGACAAAATGCATTTAAAAAAGCGTTATTTTGACAGTAGACCCTAAAAAATTATCAAAATTACTAGACCCACATGACAAGATTTTTTTTGGAAAAACGTCTGTAAATTTTTTGTTTTAGGAGATTTCCAAAAAAATTAAAATGCGTCTTAAAAAGAGATATTTTTACAGTAGACCTTTAAAAAATTATCAAAATTTGTAATAAATTTTGACAGTTGACCCATACAAAATTTTCTAAATTGGTGATAACTTACTAGACTTACATACATGACGAAACATTTTTTTAAAAAAAGTCAGTAATTTTTTTGTTTAAGAAGATTTAGAAAAAATTCAAAATGCATCTAAAAAAGATATTTTTACAGTAGACCTTCAAAAAATTATCAAAATTCGTAATAAATTACTAAACTTACATGACGAGACATTTTTTTTTTTAAAGACTTCTGTAATTACAAGACAATTTTTTTTTTGATAAACGTCAGTAATTTTTTTGTTTAAGAAGATTTAGAAAAAATTCAAAATGCATCTAAAAAAGAGATATTTTTACAGTAGACCTTCAAAAAATTATCAAAATTCGTGATAAATTACTAAACTTACATGACGAGACATTTTTTTTTGGAAAAGACGTCGGTAATGACAATAAAATACGATAAGATAGATTTTCAAAAAATTATCAAAATTCGTGATAAATTATTAAAGTTACATGACGAGACATTTTTTTGGAAAAGATGTCTGTAATGTTTTTGTTTTCGAATATGTAAAAAAACTGCATAACGCATTTAATTTTTTTTGTAACATTTTCAAAATTTCCAAATGTTTGATTCTGTATTTTTAAAATGTTTTAGAATATTTAAAAAAACTGCAAATTTTTTTTGTAACATTTTCAAAATTTCCAAATGTTTGATTCTGTATTTTTAAAATAATTAGAAAAAATGAGTTTTTACTTGTTTACAAAGATCACTTTTTTGAACTTCCTTTTCTTTCAACAGAAACAGTCACCGGGGGCGCCACCGGTGCCGCCCCGCGTGCCCCCCCTCCCGCCGCGCAAGGAATCCGGTTCTTCCCCGGGCGGGCACGGGGTCTCCGGATCGTCGTCCTCGAGCATGGGCGCCGGGGGCGGCTTCCAGTCGGCGACGTTGCCGCACATGCACCACCACCAGCAGCCGCCGATGTTCGCGCCCCGCCTCCACCCCACCTGCACGTCGCAGCTGCTGAAAAGGAGGACGAATTCGGCGTCGACGCACGCGCAAGCCACTGCGCAGCAGACCAGCGGCGGAGCCATTTACAATGGCGGAGTCAAGTGAGTACTATGAAAATTATTAAAACCTTGATTTGTTATTTTATTTTTACCGAGAAAAAAAGGACGTATTTTGTATTTAAAAATTTATTATTTATTATGACAAATTATAATTTTACATTTTAAACACATTTTAGAGGATTAGAAATACATTTAACAATGTTAAAACAGTTAAGAATTTCCAAATACATGTAAATGAATATTGTCATTTGAGATATATGCTTTTAAAAATGGCTTTAAACAATTTAGAACCATATTTAAAAGTTAATAAACTTAATAATGTTAAATTACAACAAAAATAAAGTTAAAAAAACAGTATATAATGTTAAAAAAAGAATTTTGCAGTTTTTCTAAGAGTCTACTATCAAAATAACGATCTTTTTAAATCTTCTAAAATTTCTAGAAATTTATCAATAATTTTGACAATTTTTTGAGATTCTACTGTCTAAGTAACAATTTTTTAAATGCATTTTGCAGTTTTTCCAAATCTTCTAAATCAAATTACTGACTTTTTCCAAAAACAATGTCTTGGGACTTAAGTCTAGTAATTTGTCACCAATTTCGAAATTTGTTTCTAAATCAAATTAATTACTGACTTTTTCCAGAAACAATGTCTTGGCATTTAGTTCTAGTAATTTATCCCCAATTAACACATTTTTTTAAGTCTACTATCAAAATAACGATCTTTTTAAATCTTCTAAAATTTTTAGAAATTTATCAATAATTTTGACAATTTTTTGAGATTCTACTGTCTAAGTAACAATTTTTTAAATGCATTTTGCAGTTTTTCTAAATCTTCTAAATCAAAATACTGACTTTTTCCAAAAACAATGTCTTGAGACTTAAGTCTAGTAATTAGTCACCAATTTCGAAATTTTTTTTTAAATCAAATTAATTACTGACTTTTTCCAGAAACAATGTCTTGGCATTTATTTAGTTCTAGTAATTTATCCCCAATTTTCACATTTTTTAAGAGTCTACTATCAAAATATCGATCTTTTTAAATCTTCTAAAATTTCTAGAAATTTATCAATAATTTTGACAATTTTTTGAGATTCTACTGTCTAAGTAACAATTTTTTAAATGCATTTTGCAGTTTTTCTAAATCTTCTAAATCAAATTACTGACTTTTTCCAAAAACAATGTCTTGAGACTTAAGTCTAGTAATTAGTCACCAATTTCGAAATTTTTTTTTAAATCAAATTAATTACTGACTTTTTCCAGAAACAATGTCTTGGCATTTATTTAGTTCTAGTAATTTATCCCCAATTTTCACATTTTTTAAGAGTCTACTATCAAAATAACGATCTTTTTAAATCTTCTAAAATTTTTAGAAATTTATCAATAATTTTGACAATTTTTTGAGATTCTACTGTCTACAAGTTTTTAAATGTATTTTGCAATTTTTCTAAATCTTCTAAATCAAATTACTGACTTTTTCCAAAAACAATGTCTTGAGACTTAAGTCTAGTAATTTGTCACCAATTTCGACATTTTTTGAGGGTCTACTGTCAAAATAACGTTCTTTTAAATCCATTTTGCAGTTTTTTTTTAACTTTTAAAATTTACGGTCATTTTCAAACAAAAAATGTCCCGTCATGTAATTCTAGTAATTTATCAACAATATTGACAATCTTTTGAGAGTCTACTGTCTAAGTTACAATTTTTTAAATGCATTTTGCAGTTTTTCTAAATCTTTTAATTCAAATAAATTATTGACGTTTTTCCAAAAACAATGTCTTAACATTTAAGTCTAGTAATTTATCAACAATTTTGACAATCTTTTAAGGGTCTACTGTTACAGTTTTTTTAAATCTTCTAATTCAAATAAATTATTGACGTTTTTCCAAAAACAATGTCTTGACATTTAAGTCTAGTAATTTATCACCAATTTTGGTATCAAAATTACGCTCTTTTAAATGCATTTTGATTTTTATTTCTAAATCTTCTAAAACAATAAAAACACTAACGTGTTTCCAAAAAAAATGTCTTGTTTGAGTGTATTGCAATTTATCAACATTTTGACAGTTTTCTACGGGATACTGTTAAAAGTCTTTTTGAATGCATTTTGCTGTTTTTCTAAATGAAATAAATTACTGACGTTTTTACAAAAATAATGTCATGACATTTAAGTCTAGTAATTTATCACCGATTTTAGATTTTTTTGACTACTGTCAAAATAAAGCTCTTTTAAATGCATTTTGCAATTTTTTCAAATCTAAAATAATAAAAAATACTAACGTGTTTTCAAAAAAATATATGACATTTTGACAGTTTTTTATGGGATACTTTTAAAATTAAGCTCTTTTCAATGCATTTTGCCGTTTTTCTAAATCAAATAAATTACTGATGTTTTACACAAAAACAATGTCATGACATTTAAGTCTAGTAACTTATCACTGATTTTGGATTTTTGAGGGTCTACTGTCAAAATTACGCTCTTATAAATGCATTTTGCCGTTTTTCTAAATCAAATAAATTACTGAGTTTCTTCCAAAAACAATGTCTAGTAATTTATCACCAATTTTGACATTTTTTCGAGTGTCTACTGAAAAAATAACGCTCTTTTAAATACATTTTTCTAAATCTTCTAAAACAATAAAATTACCAACGTGTTTCCAAAAACATTGTCTCGTCATGAGTGTCTTGTAATTTATCAACAATTTTCTATGGAATACTGTTAAAATTAAATTTTGAATGCATTTTGATGTTTTTCTAAATGCAATAAATTATTGACGTTTTTCCAAAAACAATGTCTACATATTTAAGTATAGTAATTTATCACCAATTTTGATATTTTTTCGAGGGTCTACTGTCAAAATAACGCTCTTTTAATTGCATTTTGAAATTTTTCCAAATCTTCTAAAACAATAAAATTACTGACATTTTTTCAAAAAAAAAAAAAATGTCTTAGTCTGGTATATGGGTCTACTATCAGAATAACGTCCTTTTGGATGCATTTTACAATTTTTGCAAATCTTATAAACAAAAAAAATCTGACCTTTTTCCAAAAAAAATCTCGTCATGTAAGTCTAGTAATTTATCAACAATTTTTACAATTTCTTGAGGGTCTACTTTCAAAATAACTTTCTTTTAAATGCATTTTGCAGATTTTCTAAATCTTCTAAAAATAAAAATTTCTTATGTTTTTCAAAAAAATGTCTGGTCATGTGAGTCTATTTATTTATAAAAAATTTATTAAAGTTTTTAATGGTTACTGTCTAAATCTTCTAAAACGATCTTTTAAATGCACTTTGTAGTATTTATAAAACAGTAACCTTTTTTCAAAAAAATGTATAGTACTTTATCAACAATTTTGATAATTTTTTGAGGGTCCACTTTCTATCTAACAATCTTTTAAATGAATTTTGCAGTTTTTTCTAAATTTTCTAAAACAAAGAAATTACTGAGGTTTTTCAAAAAAAAATCTCATTATGTAAATCTTGTAATATATCTGACATTTTTTGGAGGCTCTACTTTTAAAATAACGCTTTTCTAAATGCATTTTGCGGTTTTCCTAAATATTTCAGAAAAAATAGACGAGTAGTAATTAATCACAAATTTTGATAATTGTTTGAAGGTCTACGTTAAAAATATCTCTTTTAAATCAATTTTTTAGTTTTTTTAAATCTTCCAATATTTACAGTCATTTTTCAAAAAAAAAAATGTCCTGTCATGTAAGTTTGTTAATTTATCAACAATTTTGATAATTTTTTGAGGGTCTACTGTCTAAATACCGATATTTCAAATGCACTTGGCAGTTTTTTAAAATCTTTTAAATCAAAACAATTACCAACGTTTTTCCAAAATAAAATATTCAAACAAATTATTTGTATTTCTCCAGTGCATCACAGCTTCACATAAGACGCACCAGTGGCACCCACCATGGTATCGCGCATGTACCCAGTCACATTTACAATGGCGGTATCAAGTACGTAACTTAAATACATTTTTTTAATCGCTTCCCCTCATTTTTATGGCTGTTTTTTTTCGTTCAGCTCGCTACCTAACGTGCCAATACAACCGCCAAACATCTCGCCTCGGCAGCTTCCGGAAACGCCCGAACTTCCGCCGAAGCCGGCCGTACGTTCGGCCGAACCCGCGTGCGGCACCATGTTCCGCTACCCGAGCACCACTACCAACTCTTAAGCAAAAAAATCACCAACAAAAACGAGAAGGGAGATCCACAGCGAAAGAGGAGAATACCCAACCAGGGACGTGAAGTAAGTAAAAAATAACGTACCATGCTCCACACCTCAAAGTCCCACCACGTGACCACGTACGGAACGCAGTCTTTTGAAAATTTGGCATTTAAGGCTTTTCAGGTTATGTATCTGTCAAAGTATAGTCAACGAAAGAAATAATATTATGTTTGGGCGTTAAAAATGTATAATCTTTATAACATTACAATAACAATGGATGGTTTAAGAATTTAAGAATATAAATACTGCATTTAATGAAATTCCAAAGTATATGGTGCCAAATAAGTAATATTTTTGTGCATTTGGTCCAAATATCTGGTTTTCTCCATAAAATAATTTTAACTAAACAGCATTTATTAAAAAAAATCTAGCTTCTCTATTATGGAATAAGAATATCTGTTTTAAAGGTAGGTTAATATATTATAACAAAAATATCATCTAATTTTGTAATTTTAAGGTTAGAAAAAATTAATTTGACCAAAATACATAAGTATTTTGGATTATTTAAAGGACTGTATAATATGGTATTTAAAAATGTGGTAGTTATTCTTATCCAGCTTAAAGTGTACCTACATAAAGTTTTGTCAATACAAATTGTTAAAAAGCTTTGACTGAATTTGATCTACATCGAAAAATCATTATAATTTTAAAAATTTTAATAAATCATGGGTATTAAATATTTTCACAATGCAAGTTTCTCTAAAAATTGTTTGTTTTCTTATAATCTAACTTAAAGTAGGTATGCCGAGAGGTATGCACAAGTTTTGTCATTAGAAGTATAAAAACTTCAATTTAATTTGAACCATATTCAACAATTATTTAGTATACCTATATTTATTTATGACCATATTAACACACTGTTCCAAATAATCCACTTATTTATTTTGGTGAAAATAGATTTTTCTAACCTTAAAATACAAAATTAGATGATATTTTTTGTTCTAATACATTAACCTTTGATACAGATATTCTTATTTCATAATAGAGAAGTTAGATTTTTTTTAATAAAGGCTGTTTAGTTAAAACTATTTATGGAAAAATGTAGACCCAATGCACAAAAATATCACTTATATTGCACCTTACACTTTGGAATTTCATTAAATGCAGTATTTATATTCCTAAATTCTTAAACCAACCATTGTTATTGAGATACTATAAAGATTTATTAACTTTTAACGCTTAAACATAAGAGGTAACACTATAAATATTATTTCTTTCATTGGCTATACTTTGACAGATACATAACCTGAAAAGCCTTAAATGCCAAATTTTCAAAAGACCGCGTTCCGTACGTGGTCACGTGGTGGGACTTTGAGGTGTGGAGCATAGTACAAACAAACCTCGTGGAGGAACTACGGTCACTTAAGGGGGTATTCCCCTGAAGAAAAAATAAAATAAAATTTGATTATTTTAACCAAAACTCATCACTGGACGAAGTAAAAATATTTAGCAACCTTAAAAAATGACAAAATGTGAAATTGGTTCGTGCTCTTTTTAACGGAGTACTAAAAAAAATCGACTATGTTGAAAATATTGTTTGGGGTGACAAAACAAAATTATTGTGAAAGTTTGAGTCCATAATAATTTTTTTCCTGAGCGAGTTTTTGTCTCAGAACTCCCAAACCATTGAGTTTGGACAAAATTGACTCGGAGATATTTTTTTAAGGAAATGCTCTACAAAAAAAGTTTCTTAACATTTACATAAAAATAAGAATATTTGAATTTTTAATATTAGTTTTATAAAAACATGCAAAAAAGTATAGTAATTGGACATACAATTTTTATATAAACTAACAACTTTACATCATAAAATAAATTGTTAAATATTTTTTAAAGATAAATTGCTGTTTTAGGTAATTTTTTTATCTCCTTTTTGTAAATATCATATTATTCATATATTTCTTTCTCGGATTCCTCATCCCTTTTCTGACTTCTGAAATAGTTTGTTCCAAATATCATTAAGTGTGGTATCTCTAGTTTGTGAAGCATTTATAATGTTTAGGCCTGAACAGGACGATTTATGTATATCTAATATTTTTTCGGGTGGTATGTTAAACGTGTTTTCCAAATTTATTAATTTTGTTGCCATTAGTTTTTTATGTTCTCTATCATGCACTGTTATTCTGCAAGATGTCCTGTGACGAAGAAATCACTATATTACTTACTCTCTAAAAATGAATTAGTCAAAAATGTCACAGCGAAAAAGCAGCCACTAATAATTCTCGTCAACAGCAATTTGTATCCAAGACATTTAGCAGTCAATTCCTATGAAATATTATTCGCTGAATCCGAAAATGTCGTCAAAAGTTATAAAAATAGAACAGTTTTTGAAATATAATTAATTTTACATATAATATGGAATTGACTATATCTCAGAAACTGCTTAACTTTTATAGTTTTGGCGGTCTTTTCGGATTCAGGGGACAATTTTACACAAGAATTGACTGGTAAATGTCCGGGATACAAATAGAGTATGATATTGGACACATGTCCAATAATAGAAATTTACATTTTTTACCAACCAGTAATTGGACACTGGCCATTTTACTGTTTGTTTTCAGAATTAAAATTAAAACGCATTAAAGTGACAATGTTTAAACCATGAGAAACAAACACTGATCTGTACACTTTTAAGAAATAATTTTTATTGTAATTTAAACACAGCCCTGCTCTAAACAAAAAAACAAAAATCTTACCACCAAAGTAACGTGCGAAATTTTTTGTCCTATATTGGACCCAAAATAAAGTAGTTTTATATTATAACCGACTGAGATGGTTATAATTGTATACAGCGTCATGTAATAATAATAATAAAGGTACTGATTTTTACATGAATTACCAAGTTAAAAGATCAAATTGTAAAACAATACCAATTTTTAAGGCACGATTGTAAGAAAGCGGTTCATCTGACGAAAAATTTCATTTAGACTTTTTTGTAGAGCATTCAATTTCCTTAAAAAAATATTTCCGAGTCAATTTTGTTAAACTCAATGGTTTGGGAGTTCTGAGACAAAAACTCGCTCAGGAAAAAAAAATCTAAAATTGCGATGATTATTAATATTATGGACAACAATGTTTTCGATTTACTTTAAAAGAAAATAGTCGATTTTTTGGCCCAGTCCAGTGCTCATGCGCAGCTGCAGCAATAAAAATGGCGACACAGTGTTGCCAAGCACCTAAAAAACATACTCTACATTCACATAACAAGAAGTGTCTGATTTGTTAGAATTTCAATGCGATTTGAATGAAGTATATTTTTTAGGGTTTTTTTCATTGGAAAATTTTGCCTTATAGCCTTAACAATGTATAATCCTATATAGAAAAAAATTACCTCCCAACTTATATTCTAAAAAGAAAAAAAGTATAAAAATTGTAGTGAAATTTTTTTGAATTGTTGCACTTCTGGAAAATTCTATTTTTATTGCGGTTAGCTCAAACTGAAATTTTATAATTCCAAACGAAATAATACAGTCTATAGGGGGATTCTACAGGGTGTACAACTAAAGAAGTCCTATCGACTATAATTTTTTAACTCGCCTTTTTTTATAAAAGACCAATACAAAAAGCAAAACTTGCTGTGTTTTGTCTGTAAAAATTACTTATTATACGTATGATGTAAGTTAAACAAAAATGTGTAAATTTCCTGTAAATAATGTACAAAAACAATGTAAATGTATGAAATAGATGCCAAAATACGGAACGTTGAAAAAACATCGCGAAATAAAAATTTTCGATGTTTTTTCGAGGTTATTATTATAAAAAAATATGTTGAGAAAATAACCTGCAAGAAGCTTCGAAATGAAGTGAAAAAAAACAGTTGATTTGTTCGTACAGGGTATTCAATTGACATCATTTTGAAGCTTTTTGCTCATATTTCTGTGGTAATTAAAACAATACGAATGGTTTTAATTATTTCAGCTTGAAGGAATTGTTAAAAAATAGTTGTTTTTGTTTTTTTTTGTCTAAACGTCGAAAAACGCGAAACCAAAGTTCACGCAAAATTACTCATTTGGCAACACAATAGACGTAAGTATGGCAACGTTGCAATTTTTTTCCGGTCGATTTTGGTTTTGCGTTGTTTCGTCTAAAAAGTTTTTAAAATGATTTTTTCATCTGTGATAGTAGAAATGGACCACTTTGTAAAAAATATATATTCGATTAAGTCAGTAAATGTATCAATGTAAAAATTTTGTTTTATTTTCTTCTATACCTTTTACCGAAAATTAACAAAAGCAAATAAACGGTAAGTAATATTTTTGCACAATCTTGCAACATCGCATTTTGCACTGGAAATATTGTGGTGTCAAAATTTCCAAAAATCCCCTTATTTGCGATTTTTTGCCCAATCTGACAACATCGCAATGTACCAGGCGCAAAAATAATACCTCCTGTAATCCTGATTAATAAAATTTGACCGAAATCTGCCGATTTGAAATTTTTGGATTTTGTATTAGGATCGCAGAAACGCGAGGAGGTATACTCCTGATACAATGCGATGTTGCCAGATTTCTGAAAAATACCAGATCCTGGTACTTTTTTAAAATTTCTTAAAAATTTAAACCGTTTCTTAAAATTTTGAAATTTTCTGATTTTTATTAGGATAGCAGAAACGCGAGGAGGTATACTCCTGATACAATGCGACGTTGCCAGATTTCTGAAAAATACCAGATCCTGGTACTTTTTTAAAATTTCTTAAAAATTTAAACTGTTTCTTAAAATTTTGAAATTTTCGGATTTTTATTAGGATCGCAGAAACGCGAGGAGGTATACTCCTGATACAATGCGGTGTTGCCAGATTTCTGAAAAATACCAGATCCTGGTCCTTTTTTAAAATTTCTTAAAAATTACAACCATTTCTTAAAATTTTGAAATTTTCGGATTTTGTATTAGGATCGCAGAAACGCGAGGGGGTATACTCCTGATACAATGCGATGTTGCCAGATTTCCGAAAAATTCCAGATCCTGGTACTTTTTTTAAATTTCTTAAAAATTTCAACCATTTCTTAAAATTTTGAAATTTTCGGATTTTTATTAGGATCGCAGAAACGCGAGGAGGTATACTCCTGATACAATGCGATGTTGCCATATTTCCGAAAAATCCCAGATTTTGGTACTTTTTTAAAATTTCTTGAAAATTTCATCCTTTTCTTAAAATTTTGAAATTTTCGGATTTTTATTAGGATCGCAGAAACGCGAGGAGGTATACTCCTGGTACAATGCGATGTTGCCATATTTCCGAAAAATTCCAGATCCTGGTACTTTGTTAAAATTTCTTAAAAATTTCAACCATTTCTTGAAATTTTCGGATTTTGTATTAGGATCGCAGAAAAGCGAGGAGGTATACTCCTGATACAATACGATGTTGCCAGATTTCTGAAAAATCCCAGATCCTGGTTATTTTTTAAAATTTCTTAAAAATTTTAACCATTCTTAAAATTTTGCGATTTTCGGATTTTGTATAAGGATCGCAGAAACGCGAGGAGGTATACTCCTGATACAATGCGGTGTTGCCAGATTTCTGAAAAATCCCAGATCCTGGTTATTTTTTAAAATTTCTTAAAAATTTTAACCATTTCTTAAAATTTTGAAATTTTCGGATTTTGTATTAGGATCGCAGAAACGCGAGGAGGTATACTCCTGATACAATGCGATGTTGCCAGATTTTCGAAAAATCCCAGATTCTGGTACTTTTTTAAAATTTCTTGAAAATTTGACCGTTTCATAAAATTTTGAAATTTTCGGATTTTTATTAGGATCGCAGAAAAGCGAGAAGGTATTGCTCCTGATACAATGCAATGTTGCCAGATTTTTTAAAAATTGCAGATCAAGGGATTTTTTATTTTAAAGGAATCAGCAGGAAATAAAACGATTTATTTTGTTTTTAAAAACTGTTTATTGATGTAATAAAAAACAGTAAAAATACCGATTTGCTTTATTTATATTATGGGCAACTATCAAAGAATAAAAAAAACAGAATAATGTCTGTAGGTACAGGGCAAACAGAAAGTATTCTAAACAAATGAATAGAATAACAATTTTTTATAAAATAAAAAAAATACTTGTTTTAGATTAATTGGCGTATTCTTTACGATCTCTCCTTTGTCTGCTCCAATTCTCGTTATTGCCTCCCCTGTAGTTTTGCCTGTCTCCTCTGAAATTGCCCTGAAAAAAGGTTATTGTTACCCTTACAAGTCGCTTTCCTATTGGTGGACAAAATTCGCCCGTTGTCGGGCATTTTTTGTTTGAAATGCTCCCTACCTGGTTTGGTCCGCCTCTCAGGAAGAAGTTGCCCTGCTTCGTTTCCAAGATGCGCTCGTTGGAATCAACGAAATTGTTGATTTTGTCGGCCAGTTGTAGGGCCAAAGATTGAAGCCTCGAGGGCTCGGATCTGTGCATTACAACGGTCTGCGTGGGGTCGTCCAAAGAAGCCTAAATAAACATTTTTGTTATAAAAATGTTCGAATATTTTAGCCAAAAAATCACAAAATGTCCTAAGTTTTAAATAGTAGTTTTCTATTTGTATACCATAATAAGCACAGTAAGATACGCATTTGCGTTTCGTATTGTCTTCATGGCAATAAGATACCCGACATCAGTACAATAGACAAACATAATTTTTGATTCGAATTTTTCCTAAAATTTTGACTTATAGAAAAAATAGTACAAACTCATGTAATAAGATATTTTCGCGCACTCAACTTTGATAAACGCCCTTTTAAAAACGAGTTGCATACTATACTTTTTCTATGACAAATACTTATTATTATCTAAAAAATGATTTCAATTAAATATTTGTATAAAGCGACATCTACAGAGCTGGGAAAGTTACTTCTGAAAAGTATCAAGTTACTTTTCTAAGATAATTTAAACAAAATAACTTTGAGTTAAAAGTATCTTTAGTTACAAGATACTTTAAAAAGTATCTAAGATACTATCCGAAAGTATCTAAGATACTATATGAAAGTATCTAAGATACTTTTGAGTAACTAAGATACTTTTAGGTAACTAAGATACTTTTGAGTAATTAAGTTACTTTTAAGTATGAAAAAACTATAAAATTATAAAAATTCAACAAGTAGGTAATTACTTTGAATCCTTCTGGAATTCCCCCAATTTTCTCTAAGAAAGTATTTAAGTTACTTTACCGAGTAACTTAGATACTTTTTTAGATACAAGTTACAAGATACTTTTCCAAAATAACCATACTTTCTGTCCAATATAAAAAGTTTTTAAGATAAAGTATCTTAGATACTTTAAGTATCTTTTTTTTCAAGATACTCCCAGCTCTATACGAAAATAAAGTAACCATCCCAATAAACATTTTTGACGTAATTTTCACCATTAACATTGCCCGTTATTATTTTAATTAAACTTAACAATTATTGATACTTTAAAACAGTAAAACTTCAAAACATGATTATATTAAAAAAATATTGTATCCTTTGATTTTTTATAATTGCAAAATATAAATATTAAAAATTCTTACATGGGAAATGTTAAAGGTACAAAAAGTGACAGTTGTATTTATTGGAATTCCCGTTAGAATTTACAACTTGGGAATCTACCGGCGTTAAAATCTCAAATTTTTCCGTGTAAATCAAAATTTATCCTTTGAAAATAGGCTAACAATCCATATATGTAGAAGCAGTTTTCACAGTAAAAAAGAAGAGAATGTTTTACGGTCACTGTACGCTAAATTTTTAACGCTTTATCAGTTAACTGATAGTTCATTTAATTTTCTCAGATATTGGCGTCGAGAAACTATTTAATACTTTTGTATTATTGTATTGAGTTAATAAAATAATTTTCACATTTAGTATTATTTTACAAGAAATGCATTTTATTTTAACAATTAAGATGACATTTGACAACTGTCAACTAACTTCAGCCTGTGACTAAAAACCTATTGCTAACTTCAGCCTGCGACTAAAAGCCACAACTTGTCAATGTGTATTTAAAAGGTCCCTTGTAAGTGCCATGGAAACATGTACATGTAAAGTAAAAATTATTTTGTTCTAATAAAATTTTATTTTTTTCTCTTTCTTTAGTCTACCTATTAATTTTTTAATTTAAGACCATAACCCTTGAATTAAATGTTTGAAATGTTGCCTTTTTTATAATTTTAAGTCGCATATGTTTACTTGCGTTATTAAACGTTAATATATATTTTTTTAATTTTCCGTGATAAAAGAAAAATTTTAAAAATGTAAATTTTTTAAACTTTTGAAGTCCAACTTTTTTGTTTTTTTATATTACCCAGTACCTATTACAAATATAATTATTTTATGGTTTGTTGCCAAGATGGTCACTTTAAACATCCTTAAACTTGGTTAAAAAACTAGAATTCCTTGGTTTTAACAATAATTACAAATGAGTATAAATAAAAATGTTTACATTTAAATTACCAAACTAATAAAATAAACATGTTATAAAAATAAAAATAACACAAATATAACAAAATCCTCCTAAAATCCTAAAATGAAAATTTCGATAGTCGTAAAAAATCCATAGAACCATAAAAAAATCACCAAGTTGGCAACACTGTGTTTGCTAAGCATAAATTTTTTTTTAAACGCTAATATTAATTCTTAAAAAATTACATTTAAAAACTAACAGTAGTGTATTTAATTGATTAAATATTGAAACCTTGTCAAACCTTGTAAATTAAACTTATTATCAAAACCCACTTAAAGCTTCCTTTTTGTTTTATAAATATAGTTTACTCACCATCAGTTCTTCGTTGATTATCATTTTGGAAATGATCGAGTGCACCACTGGTTTGCCAAGTTCGAACATGTTGGCTAAGGTTGCCATGGAGATGGAATCATAGACGTGCGAGTAGGTAAACAGGTAGGTTCTCAAAGATTCCTCCTTGATCAATTTGGTCAACATCTCCCTCACGTTATTGGCCTGGTAGAAGAGATCCCAGACCTAAAAAATGATGCAACTTTTTAGTCCAGTCAAACCCTCGTTGGACTTTGCGTGCTAAGGCAGTGCCTATCCTTATTTTACGACAAATATTTTATAGATTTTTTTTATTACTATAATTGCAAAATATTATCACAAGTATTAAAAATTCTTACACGGGAAATGTTAAAGGTAGAAAAAGTGACATTTGTAATTATTGGAATTCCCGTTAGAATTTCTAACTTGGGAATCTATCGGCGTTAAAATCTCAAATAAAAATTTATCCCTTGAAAATAGAACTAACAATCGATATAGAAGCAGTTTTTCACCGTAAAAAAGAAGAGAATATTTTATGGGATGTACGCAAAATTTTTAACGCTTTAAATCTAGTTAAACTACGGCGAAATTAAACGCAGTACAAACGTTCATATATTTTTTTTAAATATTTAATAGTGTTGTATTTTTGTATGGAGATAATAAAATAATTTTCACATTTAGTATTATTTTACAAGAAAGGCACTTTATTTTAAAGATTGTATAACATTTGACAATCGTCAACCAACTTGAAACTATCTTCAGCCAGTGACTAAAGCGCCATAAAGCCACAGCTTGTCAATGTGTATTTAAAAGTATCATGAGTGTTTTTAAGGTGGGAGTAGAAAATATTTTTTTTAGAATACACTGCACACAGTGGACCTCGACTAGTCATGGGTTGTATGAAAATGCGGCCAAAAAATAGGCTTAGATATTAGTAGGCATGTATATCAAGGTTACAAAAACGCTGCAAGTGAAATCCTAGCTGATCATCAAAATATGTTTTTGTGATACTTTTATTTATGTTCACATTTGACTCTTGTTTTAAATTAATTTAAAGAATTGGCACATAATTGGAGGTCACAAAAGTTTACATATAGGTTCATTGATAAGTTGGCACTGAAATATTTGTACCCTAGGTTTGGTCTAGGGTTGTGTTACTGTTTGCCTTAAAACACAAATATAATAATTTTTGTCGGTTTTATTGTTACTTTTATGATAAAATGAACCCTATTGAAATTGTAAGCAACCATTAGCAAAATAGAAGAAAAGTTTGCGCAGCATGTGGGCGGAAAATTATTATGGGTAATACAAAATGGTCGAATTTTTTTATTACGGAATCCTATGTTCCCAATTTCAATTTCCATCTGCAATACTTGTCGCCATGGTATCCCAAAATTTAAAATGTAAAATTGTCCCCTGAATTCGAAAATACCGTCATAAATTATTAAAGTGGAGCAGTTTTTGAGATACAGTCAATTCCATATTAAATGGAAAATTGACTATATCTCAAAAACTGTTCTACTTTTTTAACTTTTGACATTTATGGATTCAGGGGGCAATTTTACATAAGAATTGGCTTTTAAATTTTGGGATACCATGGTATTCCATGCTTAACCATGGTACAAGTGAAAAAGCAGCCACTAATAACTATTAAATTAGTCATTTTTAACTAATTCATTTTTAGAGAGCTGGGCTTTCAAAGTCTCTTAAATTGCACGTCATTTTGGAACATATTACTCAATCTTTGCAGTTTCTTCAAGAAGGTGGACTTGGTATATTGTCAGAGCAAGCAGAAGCATTTATTCATATAGAGTTTGTCAAGTACTGGAACCTATATAAATAAATCTCTTAGAAGATTCTTGCTATCAAATCCAGTTAAAGAAAGCTGTTGTTGAGTTCTCATCTAGACATTTGTAACAAATATTGAGTGTATGTGAATTTGTTTTGGTCAATGACCTTTTTTCAGTGTAAAAATAAAAAGTACTTTTTTAAAATCGTATGAATCCAAAGGCTATGTAAAAATGCGAAATTGTTACATTCATAAAATAAGTTAATGATCAGCTACGGTTTTACTTGATGAATTTTTGCAATGCTTATAGATATACCTATCAAAATCCGAACTCATTTTTTGGCGCCATTTTCATACAACCCATGTCTAGTCGAGGACCACTGTGTGCATATACTGCACAATAAAAAGTAAAAAATCAAATTATTTTTTATAAAATCTCCTAAAATTTTTGTCCAAAGTGATTTTTGTTTATACAGTGGCCGACACGGAATTTTGAACGACATAACTTGGTTGTCAATGTATACATCTGTAAATAGCAAAGATATAATATTGAGCATTTTTGCTTTCGCTGTCAAAATTACAATACTAGTGATAACCGAAAGTAAGGTAAGTTGTCCATAAAGAAAGTTTTGATTTTGATGTCAACAAGATGGTAGTCGTTCAAAATTCCGTGTCGGCCACGGTACAAGTGTGTTTTTTTTCACTTTTTTGCAAATATTTCCCAAACCGTGCATTTTACGGTAAATTATTACGATAAACATTTTGTAGCACTATTTATTTAAAATGATATTTTTTGAAAATGTGCAGGAAAATATGTTTAAACTTTAGATAGATTGAAATTGATTTTGACAAAGAGATATGTTTGATCTACCAACCATAGTTTTTCTAACAAGATATAGCGAATCTAAAAAAGGGCCAGATCTACCACATGAGACTTACAATAAAAAAATTACAGTAAAACGATCATAAACATAGAAGAAATAAATATATTTTGACGTGAATTAGACCTACAGGGAATACCGCAGTACAAAATCGAACCTGAGACTCTTCCTCTAAAGTAGTGGCAAAAGAGTTCTCATGGGTGTACAATTTTTTTTAATTGTAGAATATTAAAAGAGGTACAAAATGCTAAATATAATAATTTATCATAAAATATACCGTTTGCGACTAGGGTTTTAAGATTACCGGAAAAATTGAGCCAACGGAAAAAGTCGTTTTTCCGGAAAAACCGAAAAAATTGGGCAATTTTCAGAAAAATTGCCTTTTGCATATTTTTCAATTTATTCAAAGGGTAATTTAATTAAATTAATACAAACAAAATGCAAAAGTTAATTTTTCTGAAAATTTTTACAGATGATATCCGTACACCGATATCGAGAAAAAAGTGAATTTTTGACGCTGATTTAATCATAAGTTTTTGATTATAATAATTATTCCTTTTATTTGAATTCAGTAAGAATATTCTACAAGGCCGCAAAAAAAACATATTACCTATATATGTTTTTGTTTAAAATTTATCAATTTAAAATTGTTAAAAATAAAAAGTTTTAGTTTAAATTTGTAAAAAGTCTTTTAAATAATAGTCTCCTTCGTCGCTCGTTTTTTTATAAATTGTCCGTTACAGTTGTGGATTGCTACTTTTTCAAATGTGTATATTTTACAAAAAATCAATTTTTCCCAAAAAAGACAATTTTACAAAGACCTGGGAAAAAAACGGAAAAAACAGTTTTTTTCCGACACTTTAAAACCCTATTTGCGACATATTTGCCAGAAAGTGATAAAGAGAAAACATTTTAACTAGGTATATTTTTGTACTTGTTTGTTTAAACAAAAAATACTTGCTATACAATACAATTTTGCTTGTATACTTTTTATCGTGCAACATACGGGGGCCGAGATATCCGCCAAAAACTAAAAAACTCACCTTGGCGTTCATCTTGTCGTTGATGATGAAGGAGTTGCAGGCGGCCCAGTTGCCGTTGCGCATGGCCTTGGCGGCGGCCACTACGTGCTCGCGCATGCTCTCGGGCGGCCCGACCAGGTTCTGCCGCTCCGAGCTGCGCAGCTGCTGGTAAAAGGTCTTCGAGATCATGCGGCGGCGCGCGTCGAACTCGTGCGCGGCCATGTACGGGATCTCGATCAGCATCGCGGAGACGAGGTAGACGCACTCGAGCAGCTCGAGGTTGATGTGCATGTGGAACGGCATCTGGCGCTGCTTCTCGATTTTCTCCTGCTCCTTGCTGCGCTCGTGCTGACGTTGCGGCAGCAGACCTAACAACATTATATAGTAAATTTAAAAGTAAACTACGTACACGTCATCAATAAAACAAAAATTTTACGCATTGGTACCAACACTAAATGACTAAATCGAAGTCTGTAATTGAATATTTGAATGCATTTTAAACATCTTCAGTTGGCAACAATTAAGATGTTGTCATATTTACATTCAAATATTTCATATTTAAATGACACATAAAAAAGAATTTGACGTTTTAGAATTTCGAAGCTGTCAGTTGTGTTTTTGAATATTTCATTTAATTCGTGTATTATTTCGTTTATTTTGTTTGTTGTTTGTGTTATTTTATATCGTTTAAGTTTTCATTGACGTTTTTGTGTTTGTTATATATCGTTTTTTGTGTTTCCTATATTTAAAATGCCGAAGCATTTAAATAGTCGGAGTCAAGAGTTGGTGTCTTCCTTAATACGCTATTTTGAGGCAGAACGGGATAATAATGGACCTTTGTTACCTTTAACAGCTGTTAGAGAGGTAAATAGGATTATTATTAATTATATATTAGAATATTTAACAAAATATATGTTGGATACATAAAATAATAATATATATACCAGAGACTGACTTTAGATGGCAAAATTTTTGGGTTTTATATCAGAAAATGTCTTTAAAAATGGCTAAAAACATACTTTTGGCGGTGCATCATATAGGTTATAAAAACTCAGACTTTTGACATTTTGGTATTATTCATGAAAACGCCATCTATCGCCCTGTAGTTGCACTACCACTTTCCCTTGATGCAAGGATTTTAGCATCACATTGACAACCGTGCCCGATCAGCTGATTGATGACGTGTACGTAGTTTACTTTTAAATTTACTATATATTAGGGTGTGCCAAAAAAACTCGATATGTTTTTTTCTTGCTCTCCACCCAAAATATCGTAGAATATGTCCGAACAAATATTCTGTTAAAAGCGGAGCTCATAATTTCAATTTTAAGAGGTCCTTTATCGAATCTGAAGTTTTGCCGCTTACACAGAAAACCGACTTTTTTGACTTATTTATTCTTGCAACCTAGGAAGAATTTTTTTTCATAAAATCCATGACCAAATCTTACAAAGCATTAAATTTGGACGAAAAAATCTTATTAAGCCGAATTTCTATTTTCATTATTTGATTTTTTACAGAGCTTTCAATTTAAAGTTAATAATACAAAAATGATGACTTTATACGCCTGTAACTTTTAGAATATGGACGATACAAAAAAATCGCCTAAAATGTGGTTCATCAGACAAGCTTTGAGCATTTGACTTTTTCGTCTAACTTCAATAGTTTAGCTGAAAAAGGCAAAAAACGTAAAATTTTTAATTTAAAGCTCTGTCAAAAATCAAATAATGAAAATAGAAATTCGGCTTAATAAGATTTTTTCGTCCAAATTTAATGCTTTGTAAGATTTGGTCATGGATTTTATGAACAAAAAATTTCTTCCTAGGTTGCAAAAATAAATAAGGTAAAAAAGTCAGTTTTCTGTGCTATTTAAGCGGCAAAACTTCAGATTCGATGAAGGACCTCTTAAAATTGAAATTATGAGCTCCGCTTTTAACAGAATATTTGTTCGGACATATTCTACGATATTTTGGGTGGAGAGCAAGAAAAAAAAAATATCGAGTTTTTTGGCACACCCTATTATATATATTCAGGAGCTTCAACCAAAGATGATGCAAGAGGCTAAAGGTAATGTAATTTGAATTAAAGAGACCAACCTTGGGCCAGAAGTTCCTTGGGTTTTCCGGTCATCATCAAATCCACCAAACAGTTGTGGGCATCTTTAATGTTGGCGTGTCTGAAAGCGCACAGACCCAAATGGGCCATGGTCCTGTTGTAAAGGATTTGGGTGCTGGGATCAGAATGTTGAATAGTTTCCTAATTAAAGTATTATTATTAAATTTTTCAAACCTCAATATGATTTTTTTTAATATATAAAATTCACAAATGTTTAAATTTTAAAACAATTGTATAAAAAAAATAGCAAAATATAAAAAAAAATATGATCAAAGAATAAAGACAATTAATAAAGGTTTTTTGTTTTTACATAACATAATTTTAATGATATTGGAAGTTTAAAAATTAAATTTTTTTTGGAAATTAAAGTGTAAAAAATTTGGAAAAAATTATGAAAAATTATAACAATCATCTTTATAATTCATTATAAAGTGACAAATTATACAAAAAATGTAAACAAGCTTTAATACACCGTTTTTTAGAATTACAAAATATAACAAATATTAAAATAGGATTTTTTTAAATTAAAGTATAAACTACAAAACTTAGTTTATTTTTAATTTTCCTGTAAAAATGATAAAAAATTGTCATGCATTTAAGACATTGCATGTCAAAAAATGAAAGATTGATACGATAATTGAGCAAGCCATGAGAACGAATGGATATTATTATCTGACTGTCACTTTTGACATGACATGGCTAAAATGACAAATTTCAAAAATATGTTAAAGATACGACGCAAGCGAGCCATAAAAATGAGTGTATATTATTATTATTGATGACAAAAGTAAAAAATAAGAGCTTTTAAAATGACAGATGTCAAAATAACAAATGATGGTCGAGCAAGCCATGAAAATGAGTGGATATTATTATTTGACGTCTTATCATTATTACTTCTGTCAGAGAGGGGATAAAGGCCTAATATACCGTTTAACTGTTACTTTTGACATCTGCCATGGTTTATTTTTAAAATCTGTCAGTCCATTTTAAATTAAATTAAAATTACATATCGTCACCTGAGAATTATAGTGTTCTATCTGCATTTATTTTTAAATTGAGGTCAGTCTTGTTTTAAGTCTTAAAGATGCATATTGTTCTATCTATATATAATTAGCGAAGAAATTGTACAGTTTAAGCCTTAAACTGTACAATTTCTTCGCTAATTATATATAGATAGAACAATATGCATCTTTAAGACTTAAAACAAGACTGAACTCAATTAAAAAAAAAATGCAGATAGAACACTATAATTCTCAGGTGACGATATGTTAAAAACGACAGATGCCCAAAGTGACCAGTTGTCAAAAGTGACAAATGTCAAGAGTAACAAATGACCGATATTTTGATAAAGATAAATAAAGATACGCAGCTTGAGTAAGCTATGAGAATGAGTGCCCAATATTATTTGACCTTATAACTGTCGTTTTTGACATCTGTCAGCCCTTTTTAGACACCTGTAAGATTGCAGATGTTAAAAATGACAAATTTAAAAAGTAAAGGATGTCAAAAGAACAAATGTCAAAAGTGACAATTGACATATGTCAAAATGACTTATTTTAAAATAAAGATACGACGCTTGAGCAAGCCATGAGCAATGGCTATTATTATTTGACCTTTTAACTGCCACTTTTGACATCTGCCATGGCTCATTTTTTACATTTTAGACATGTATTAAATTACAGATGTTATAAAATGACAGATGCCAAAAGTGACAGATGTCAAAAATGACAAATGTCCAAAGAGACAAATGTCAAAAGTGACAAATGCCAATAGTAACAAATGTCAAAATTGAGAGGATGACAAAAATAACAAATGACAAAAGTGACATGTCAAAAATAACAAATGTCAAAAGTGACAAATAACATATATTTTGATGAAGATAAATAAAGATACGCAGCTTAAGTAAGCCTATTTTAGACATGTATAAAATTACAGATGTTAAAAATGACAGATGTCAAAAATGACAAATGTCCAAAGGGACAAATGTAAAAAGTGACAAATGCCAATAGTAACAAATGTCAAAAGTGACAGATGTCAAAAGTGAGAGGATGTCAAAAGTGAGAGGATGTCAAAAGTGACAAATGTCAAAAGTGACATGTCAAAAATAACAAATGTCAAAAGTGACATATCAAAAATAACTAATGTCAAAAGTGACAAATAACAGATATTTCGATGAAGATAAATAAAGATACTTAAGGTAAGCCTATTTTAGACATCTATAAAATTACAGATGTTAAAAATGACAGATGCCAAAAGTGACCAGATGTCAAAAGTGACAAATGTTAAAAGTAACAAATGCCAAAAGTGAGACGATATCAAAAGTGACACATGGCAAAAGTGACATGTCAAAAATAACAAAAAGTCAAAAGTGACAAATGTCAAGAGTGACAAATGACAGATATTTTAATGAAGATAAATAAAGATACGCAGCTTAAGTAAGACATGAGACATCAGCCTAATTTACACATCAATAAAATTACAGATGTTAAAAATGACAGATGCCAAAAGTGACAGATGTCAAAAGTGACAATTGTTCAAATGGACAAATGTCAAGTATGACAAATGTCAAAAGTGTCAAGAGCGACAAATAACAGATAAATATAGGCAGCTTGAGAAAGCCATGAGAATGCCTAATATTATTTAACCTTTTAACTTTTACTTTGAACATGTTACTTTCTCATTTTTGACATTCATTAGCCCATTTTGGATATCTGTCAAAAGTGACAAATGTCCAAAGTAACAGATGTCAAAAGGGAGAGAATGTCAAAAGTGACAAATGTCAAAAAGCGACAAATGTCAAAAAGTGACAAATGTCAAAAAGTGACAAATGTCAAAAAGTGACAAATGTCAAAACTAACAAATGTAAAAAATGACAAATGACAGATATTTTGATAAGGATAAACGCAGCTTGAGTAAGCCATGAAAACGATTGCCTAATATTATTTGATCTTTTCACTGTTAATTTAGACATCTGCCATGGCTAATTTTCGACATCTGTCAGCCCATTTTAAAGATCTGTAAAATTACAGATGTTAAAAATGACAAATTTAAAAAGTGACAAATAACAGATGTTAAAGTAAAAATACGACGCTTGAGCAAGTCATGACAATGAGTGGGTATTATTTTTGATGAAAAATGTCAAAATGACATGTTAAAGATAGAGAAAGTCATGAGAATGAGTGTCTATTATTATTTGACATCTTTTAACTGCCATTATTACTTAGAAGTAATATTTAATAATAGACAGAACTGTCATTATTAAGTCATTTTCGACATCTGCCATAGTTCATTTTTGACACAAAAACTGCCCATGGGCAATTTCCTTCAAAATTAAATTATTGAAAACTGCCCTTACTTTTCATGTATTTCAAAACAAACAATGGGGTAGTTAATTTTTTTCTGACCTATACTTTTTATGGTTTTATTCAAGGCGTTTTGTAATTTTTAACATTTCTGTGAAATCGGAATTTCAATTGAGTTTACCGTTTTCGAGATATTTACAAAAAAAAATCTCCTAATTACATCAATAGGCTATTGACAACGTTGCCAGCTTTTTCTATGGTTGCCAGTGTGTTTAGTTTAAGATTCTTACGATAGATGGCGCCACGTTATAATATTTTAGTTTTAAAACCACTTGATCTATAATTTTAGTTGAGAAGAAGTAGAAGAATTGATTTTTTGACGTTTCTTTTTTTCGGGTTATGTTTTTTTTTAAATTTAGATTATTGAAAATCAATGTTATTGTTATGTTATTTGTAATTGATATTAGATAAGTGATTTATTAATAACGGACTCCAAAGCAGAGGAATCTTGTGGAATGGTTGGTTACATTGAACATTGGAGCTTTTAAACAAATAGAGTAAATACTTCATTAGTATAATGCCTAGTTCTTTATATTCTTTTAGATATATCTTGGACTCTAAAATATCAAACAGTAATATGATACCTCGTAATAAGGAAGATAGGTACTTAATGAATTTGGTGACCATCTTTCACTCAACTGACAGTGACAGTATTTGTACATAACCTCTTCGGGTATTTTCTGACATAACCGAATGAAATCATTAACAAGACAACTTGACAACAGGGTAATTTTCAACCAATAGAAATCTTAGAATGTTGGTCACATGGCGAGGTTTGTGACGTCATAAAAATTTATATTTTTTGTAAATATCTCGAAAACGGTAAACTCAATTAAAATTCTGATTTCACAGAAATGTTTAATATTACAAAACGCCTTGAATAAAACCATAAAAAGTATAGGTCAGAAAAACTTTAACTACCCCATTAAAACTGCACATTAAAATTAAAACAAGATAACTTGTAACTTATAATAATAATAATAAACATTTCACTTACTTGTAAATGAGACATGAGAACCAAATCCCTGGCCTGGAACCAGTTGTCGTGAAGAGCGTGGTGATAGATGTGCGACAAAATGGCCCTGGTCCTCAACCTGTCGGTGCCGTCCCTGGCGTAGATGAACTTGCACAACTTCTCCATCTCGGTGACGCTGGTGGGCAAATCTTGCGGCAGGGCGTTGGATTTCTGCTCGAGCACTCGCGGGTCGAACTTGTAGTAGAGGTGCTCGATTTTGCGCAGGTAGATCCTGCACAGTTCCGAGGGCACGTTGGTGCGTTCCAAGTACAGCATCGTTTTGTCGATGATGGCCGACACTTTGATCTCGTCTTTGAGACGCTCGACGTACTCGTTGGAGTGAGGGTCGCATTCTTTCAGGAGTTTGGTGAATTCGTCGTCCAATCTGAAGGAAGTTCAAACAAATCTAATTGGTGCTGATTAATTTTTGATTTTTGTGGAAACAAAGCTAAAATGTACTCTTGACTAAGTTATTTTTACAACTTTCTTCACAAATATCAGAAATTAGTCGGCAACAATCAGATTCTTAAAAACAGTTTGCAAATCGTTTTAAACTGTTTTTTTTTAAGAATCTGATGGTTGATTATTAATTTCTGATTTTTGTGGAAACAAAGCTAAAATGTACTCTTGACTAAGTTATTTTTACAACTTTCTTCACAAATATCAGAAATTAGTCGGCAACAATCAGATTCTTAAAAACAGTTTGCAAATCGTTTTAAACTGTTTTTTTTTTAAGAATCTGATGGTTGATTATTAATTTCTGATTTTTGTGGAAACAAAGCTAAAATGTATTCTTGACTGATTATTTTTTTCAACTTCCTTCACAAAAATCAGAAATTAGTCGGCAACAATCAGTTTCTTAAAAAACTGTTTGCAAATCATTTTAAACTGTTTTAAAAAAATCTGATTGTTGCCGACTAATATCTGAGTTTTGTGGAAACAAAGCTAAAATGTACTCTTCACTGAGTAATTTTTACAACTTTCTTCACAAAAATAAGAAATTAGTCGGCAACAATCAGATTCTTAAAAAACAGTTTGCAAATCGTTTTAAACTGTTCTTTTAAGAATCTGATTGGTGCTGATTAATTTCTGATTTTAGTGGAAACAAAGCTAAAATGTACTCTTGACTCAGTAATTTTTACAACTTCTTTGACAAAAATCAGAAATTAGTCGGCAACAATCAGATTTTTTTTAAACAATTTGCAAATCGTTTTAAACTGTTCTTTTAAGAATCTGATTGGTGATTATTAATTTCTGATTTTTGTGGAAATAAAGCTAAAATGACTGAACTTTCTTCAGAAAAATAAGAAATTAGTTGGCAACAATGAGATTCTTAAAAAACTGTTTGCAAATCGTTTTAAACTGTTTTTTTTTTAAGAATCTGATGGTTGATTATTAATTTCTGATTTTTAAGGAAACAAAGCTAAAATGTACTCTTGATTGAGTAATTTTTACAACCTCCTTTACAAAAATCAGAAATTAGTCGGCAACAATCATTTTCTTAAAAAACTGTTTGCAAATATAGGAATCTGATTGGTGCTGATTAATTTCTAATTTGTGTGGAAATAAAGCTAAAATGACTGAGTAATTTTTACAACTTTCTTCACAAAAATAGGAAATTAGTCGGCAACAATCAGTTTCTTAAAAAACTGTTTGCAAATTGATTTAAACGGTGTTTTAAGAATCTGATTGATGTTGATTAATTTCTGATTTTTGTGGAAATAAAGCTAAAATGTACACTTGACTGAGAAATTTTTACAACTTACACCACAAAAATCAGAAATTCGTCGGCAACAATCAATTTAATAAAAAACTGTTTGCAAATCGTTTTAAACTGTTTTTTTAAGAATCTGATTGGTGATTATTAATTTCTGATTTTTAAGGAAAAAAAGCTAAATTTACTCTTGACTAAATAATTTTTACAACTTTCTTCACAAAATCAGAAATTAGTCGGCAACCATCAGATTCTTAAAAAAACAGTTTGCAAATCGTTTTTAACTGTTTTTTAAGAATCTGATTGGTGATTATTAATTTCTTATTTTTGTGGAAATAATGCTAAAATGTACTCTTGACTAAGTAATTTTTACAACCTCCTTTACAGAAATTAGTCGGCAACAATCAGTTTCTTAAAAAACTGTTAGCAAATTGTTTTAAACGGTGTTTTAAGAATCTGATTGATGCTGATTAATTTCTAATTTTTGTGGAAATAAAGCTAAAATGACTGAGTAATTTTTACAACTTCCTTTACAAAAATCAGAAATTAGTCGGCAACAATCAGTTTCTTAAATAACTGTTTGCAAATCGTTTTAAACTGTTTTTTAAGAATCTGAAGGTTGATTATTAATTTCTGATTTTTAAGGAAACAAGGCTAAAATGTACTCTTGATTGAGTAATTTTTACAACTTCCTTCACAAAAATCAGAAATTAGTCGGCAACAACCAGATTTTTAAAAAACAGTTCGCAAATCGTTTTAAACTGTTTTTTTAAGAATCTGATTGGTGTTTATTAATTTCTGATTTTTGTGGAAATAAAGCTAAAATGTACACTTGAATGAGAAATTTTTACAACTTACACCACAAAAATCAGAAATTAGTCGGCAACAATCAGTTTCTTAAAAAACAGTTTGCAAATCATTTTAGACTGTTTTTATAAGAATATGATTGGTGCTGATTAATTTCTGATTTTTGTGGAAATAAAGCTAAAATGTACACTTGACTGAGAAATTTTTACAACTTCCTTCACAAAAATCAGAATTTAGTCGGCAACAATCAATTTCTTAAAAAACTGTTTGCAAACCGTTTCAGACGTTATTTTATAAATCTTATTGGTACTGATTAATTTCTGATTTTTGTGGAAACAAAGCTAAAATGTACTCTTAACTGAGTAGTTTTTACAACATCCTTCACAAAAATCAGAAATTAGTCGGCATCAATCAGATTCTTAAAAAACAGTTTGCAAATCGTTTTAAACTGTTTTTTTAATAATCTGATTGGTGCTGATTAATTTCTGATTTTAGTGGAAACAAAGAGAAAATGTACTCGTGTAATTTTTAAAACTTTCTTTACAAAAATCAGAAATTAGTCGGCAACCATCAGATTCTTAACAAACAGTTTGCAAATCGTTTCAAACTGTTTTTTTTTTTTAATCTGATTGTTGCTGATTAATTTCTGATTTTTGTGGAAACAAAGCTAAAATGTTCTTTTGACAGAGTAATTTTTACAACTTCCTTCACAAAAATTAGAAATTAGTCGGCAACAATCAGATTTTTAAAAAACACTTTAAACAATTTAGTTTAAGCAGTTTTTTCTTACCTTTCAACTGACGTCAAGACACATCCCCTAATTTTGAAGGGAGCCGTTTCCAGATTCTCAGTTTCTTCGGTGATACTTTCTGCGACCATAAGTTGGGGGTTTCCCAGGAGAACGTCCAACAATTCGGACATGCGCTCCAAGAGTTTAACCCAGAACTCCACTTTCATGGCATCGCTCACCTTCGGGTTGTAATCGAAGATGGCCGAGACGATGGCTATCTTGATTTTGGCGTTGATCGCGGGACCCAGCTGGTGCTGATCGGCGACGTTTTGCAGTTCGTGCAAAAGTTCGATTTGCTCTCTACGATCCGTACGTTTTTTACCGCGGGCTGCCATGATTTCCGACAATTTTTTTATTACCAGATTCAAGTCGATTTCGGCATCTTTAGCGAACATTTTTGGCTTTTCCTGAAGAATGAATACATAAAAAATGTTATTGAGAAAAAAGATGACATAAAATATTTAGGAATTATACAAAAAATAAGTAATTTAATTGAACCAATTAAAAAAATTAAAACAAGAGGTTCTAATTATAAATAAATACCTATGTTAAAAATCATATCAAACAAATATTTAACATTAAAAATAATATTTTTTTTTGTTCGTAAAATGAAATGTTACATATACAGGAACAAAAATATCCTTCTTTGTGTATTAGGGTGATTTTTTTAAGGAACCTTAATTTTTTAAGATTAAAAATGCAATAAAATTTATAGTTTAAATCGCCTAAAGAAGAAAACCGACTAATTCCAATTTTAAGTAATAAAGGACAAAAGATAATTTTTATGGTTTTTAATAATTTAAATGATATTTTGTCCTTTATTACTTGAAATTGGAGTTAGGTGGTTGTCTTGCCAAGGCGACGATATGTACTGTCAAATATTAATTAATATAAAAATAATTTAGCTAAATTAAGTTTTAAATCCCAAAACGTCGTTTTTGTGAAAAATATTAATTTTAAAACATTATTTTGCTAATTATTACCATCACTTTTTTAATTTCAATTATTATTATAGGCTTAATAAAATGAAACATTAATGAAAAATTTTTAACCAAACTTAGATTGAAAATGCAATTTTAATATTTTTCACAAAAACGACTTTTTGAGCTTTCAACCTCATTTTTGCAATAAAATTAATTTAGCTAAATTGAGTTTTAAAGCCCAAAACGTAGTTTTTGTGAAAAATATTAATTTTAAAACATTATTTTGCTAATAATTAATATTACCATCACTTTTTTAATTTCAATTTTATTGTAAAAATCTGTTTAACCGTCCTAAAAATGCGATTTTATTTATAAAATCCCTTTTCTAGTTTTTTTTCAAAAACAAGTCTTTGTTAAAACAAAATAAAAAATCAATGATATGCAATGGTAAAAAGTTAAAAAAAAACATAAAATCTAAAAAATAAAGTAAAAATCACAATTTTTTTTAATTTCGAGAATTTGTAAAATAGTTGATATGGAATTGCTTTTTAGTACGATAAAGTTTAAAAAATGATGGTAAAAATGAAGATTTAAACCTCATTTTTACAATAAAGGCTTTGCAAAATTGAGTTTTAAAGCCCAAAAAGTCGTTTTTGTAAAAAATTTAATAATTAACTTTAAAACATGATTTAGGTAATTTCAATTTTATGGTAAAAATGTCTTAAAAAATCACTTTTTTAGTTTTTTCCAAAAACAAGTCTTTTTGCTAAAACAAATGAATGCAATGGTTAAAATCTTTAAAAAACAACAGGCTGAATAATTATGTAATTAAATATTTTTGAAAAGATTATTTTAATTTAACTTAATAAAATGAAAAATTAATGATATTTTTTTAACCAAACTTAGATTGAAAATGCAATTTTAATATTTTTCACAAAAACGACTTTTTGAGCTTTAAAGCTCATTTTTGCAATAAAAATAATTTAGCTAAATTGAGTTTTAAAGCCCAAAACGTCGTTTTTGTGAAAAATATTAATTTTAAAACATTATTTTGCTAATAATTATTATTACAGTCACTTTTTTAATTTTAATTATATTGTAAAAATCTGTTTAACCGTCCTAAAAATGCGATTTTATTTATAAAATCCCTTTTCTAGTTTTTTTTTTTCAAAAACAAGTCTTTGTTAAAACAAAATAAAAAATCAATGATATGCAATGGTAAAAAATTAAAAAAAAAACATAAAATCTAAAAAATAAAGTAAATATCACAATTTTTTTTTAATTTTGAGAATTTGTAGTTGATATGGAATTGCGTTAAATACGCTTTTTAGTACGATAAAGTTTAAAAAATGAAGATTTAAACCTCATTTTTACAATAAAAGTTTTGCAAAATTGAGGTTTAAAGCTCAAAAAGTCGTTTTTGGGAAAAAATTTAATAATTTATTTTAAAACATGATTTCAATTTTATGATAAAAATGTCCTAAAAATGCGATTTTTTTATTTAAAAAATCACTTTTTTAGGATTTTCCAAAAACAAGTCTTTTTGCTAAAAGAAATGATATGCAATGGTTAAAAATTTAAAAAAACACCAGGCTGTATAATTATGTAATTAAATATTTTTGAAATGATTATTTTAATTTAACTTAATAAAATGAAAAAATTTTAAATGCAATTTTAATATTTTTCACAAAAACTACTTTTTGAGCTTTAAACCTCATTTTTGCAATAAAAATAATTTAGCTAAATTGAGTTTTAAAGCCCAAAAGGTCGTTTAAAAACAAGTCTTTATTAAAACAAATTAAAAAATCAATGATATGCAATGGTAAAAATTTAAAAAAAACATAAAATCTAAAAAATAAAGTAAAAATCACAATTTTTTTAATTTTGAGAATTTGTAAAATAGTTGATATGGAATTGCGTTAAATACGCTTTTTAGTACGATAAAGTTTAAAAAATGATGGTAAAAATGAAGATTTAAACCTCATTTTTACAATAAAAGCTTTGCAAAATTGAGTTTTAAAGCCCAAAAAGTCGTTTTTGTAAAAAAATTTAATAATTAATTTTAAAACATGATTTAGGTAATTTCAATTTTATGGTAAAAATGTCTTTAAAATTCACTTTTTTAGTTTTTTCCAAAAACAAGTCTTTTTGCTAAAACAAATGATATGCAATGGTTAAAAATTTTAAAAAACAACAGGCTGTATAATTATGTAATTATATATTTTTGAAATGATTATTTTAATTTAACTTAATAAAATGAAAAATTAATGAAATTTTTTTAATATTTTTCACAAAAACGAGTTTTTGAGCTTTAAAGCTCATTTTTGCAATAAAATTAATTTAGCTAAATTGAGTTTTAAAGCCCAAAACGTCGTTTTTGTAAAAAATATTAATTTTAAAACATTATTTTGCTAATAATTATTATTACCATCACTTTTTTAATTTCAATTTTATTGTAAAAATTTGTTTAACCGTCCTAAAAATGCGATTTTATTTATAAAATCCCTTTTCTAGTTTTTTTTCAAAAACAAGTCTTTGTTAAAACAAAATAAAAAATCAATGATATGCAATGGTAAAAAACATAAAATCTAAAAAATAAAGTAAAAATCACATTTTTTTTTATTTTGAGAATTTGTAAAATAGTTGATTTGGAATTGCGTTAAATACGCTTTTTAGTACGATAAAGTTTAAAATTTAAACCTCATTTTCAGAATAAAAGTCTTGCAAAATTGAGTTTTAAAGTCCAAAAAGTCGTTTTTGTGAAAAATTTTAATAATTAATTTTAAAACATGATTTAGGTAATTTCAATTTTATGGTAAAAATGTCCTAAAAATGCGATTTTTTTATTTAAAAAATCACTTTTTTAGTTTTTTCCAAAAACAAGTCTTTTTCTAAAACAAATGGTTAAAAATTAAAAAAAAAACATCAGGCTGTATGATTATTTTAATTTAACTTAATAAAATGAAAAATTAACGAAAAATTTGTAAGCAAACTTAAAATAGATTGAAAATCTTAAAAAGTAATAAAAAACGAATTTTTGGCCTTTATATTAATTTAGCAAAATTGAGTTTTAGAGCCCAAAACATCGTTTTTGTGAAAAATATTAATTTTAAAAGATAATTTAGGTATATAATTATAAAATCACTTTTTTATTTCAAATATCGACCATTTTACAAATTTCCAAAATTAAATAAAATTCGTAAGCGCAATTATTTGGCCGGGGACTGTAAATATATATTTGTTTTACTCACACTTGGTATAGCAATTCCGCCTTTGACAGTTTCCCATTCGCCTTCACCGTCTTCCTCCTCGTCCCGCTTCATTTTCCTCCTTTCCTTATCCTTCCTCTCTTTCCTCTTCTCCTCGCGACGCTTCTCTTTTTCCTCGTCGTCCTCCTGACCGGGTCCGGTTTTCTTCAAAAACCTGCAAGATGCAACAAACGAATCGAATTATTGTGTTTTCTTTTTCGAAATCGAAATGGGGTAGTTAAATTTTTTCTGACCTATACTTTTTATAGTTTTATTCAAGGCGTTTTGTAATATTAAACATTTCTGTGAAATCGGAATTTCAATTGAGTTTACCGTTTTCGAGATATTTACAAAAAATATAAATTTTTATGGCGTCACAAACCTCGCCATGTGACCAACATTCTAAGATTTCTATTGGTTGAAAATTACCCTGTTGTCAAGTTGTCTTGTTAATGATTTCATTCGGTTATGTCAGAAAATACCCGAAGAGGTTATGTACAAATACTGTCACTGTCAGTTGAGTGAAAGATGGTCACCAAATTCATTAAGTAGGTACCTATCTTCCTTATTACGAGGTATCATATTACTGTTTGATATTTTAGAGTCCAAGATATATCTAAAAGAATATAAAGAACTAGGCATTATACTAATCAAATGCATTTACAACAAAATATGATTATAATTATAGGTACTTTATTTGTTTAAAAGCTCCAATGTTCAATGTAACCAACCATTCCACAAGATTCCTCTGCTTTGGAGTCCGTTATTAATAAATCACTTATATAATATCAATTACAAATAACATAACAATAACATTGATTTTCAATAATCTAAATTTAAAAAAAAACATAACCCGAAAAAAAGAAACGTCAAAAAATCAATTCTTCTTCTTTTTCTCAACTAAAATTATGGATCAAGTGGTTTTAAAACTAAAATATTATAACGTGGCGCCATCTATCGTAAGAATCTTAAACTAAACACACTGGCAACCATAGAAAAAGCTGGCAACGTTGTCAATAGCCTAGTGACGTAATTAGGAGATTTTTTTTTGTAAATATCTCGAAAACGGTAAACTCAATTGAAATTCCGATTTCGCAGAAATGTTTAAAATTACAAAACGCCTTGAATAAAACCATAAAAAGTATAGGTCAGAAAAAATTTAACTACCCCATTCTGCGAGATTTACCGTTCGCGCATGCTCGTGTATTTGCTCTCGTCGTCGTCGGAACTGTCCGAAGACGAGTCGGTGTCCGACGGCCAGTCGTCGTCCGAATCGGACGATTCCTCTTTAGCGACCGGTTGAGGTTTGGGCGCGGCTTTTACAAACTGACTTTTCGTCGGAGGAGCGTCGTTGTCGCTGTCCGCCTCCGGCTCATCTGTTAGTTAGAAAGGAAGAAACGAATTTATAATTTTATCTTATACACTAGAGTGTCTCAAAAAAACCGACTATTTTTTTCCCCAAAGAACATTGAAAATTCGTCAGAGTATCTCTAGAAAATGACCCTGTGAAAGTAAGAGCTCTTAATATTAATATTTAGATGTGGCGTTTTGTAATTTTCTATTTCCCATAACATGGGAAATTTTTATTTTCAAAATTGGAATTTTGTAACGTGATAACGAGCTACTTTATAAGTATGACGAAATTACTCCTTATAGGAAATTTAATGCTCTACAAAAAAGGTCTGATTGACTTTTTGCGTAAGTCAAGCCTTTTCAAAGATATCGAGCCTCAAACTTCAGAATGTTTAAAATTATGCTTTCTTTCTTCTTAAATACAAAAAAATCAGGAGATAACAGAAGAAAATTGATATAAAGTGAAATGGACTATTAACATGACTATATAAACAGTAAATATATTATTAATACATAATGTAAATAAATTTATAGTAAACTTCTACCAAATTTTTTTAGGTAAGTGAATATTTTTTGCTAAAAATCAATAAAAATTATCATTTATCAAATTATTAAGAATTTTAGATCTGCATTCCATCAAATATATGCATATATTTATTCTCAAGTTAATAATTTTGGGTCTTAAATACATATAAATTGATTTTTTTGCATTTAAGAAAAAAAAAGCATGATTTTAAACATTCTGAAGTTTGAGACTCGATATCTTTGAAACGGCTTGACTTACGCAAAAAGTCAATCAGACCTTTTTTGTAGAGAAATAAATTTTCTTAAGGAGTAATTTCGTCATACTTATAAAGTAGCTCGTTATCACGTTACAAAATTCCAAATTTGAAAATAAAAATTTCCCATGTTATTTAAATGGGAAATAGAAAATTACAAAACGCCACATCTAAATATTAATATTAAGAGCTCTTACTTTCACAGGGTCATTTTCTAGAGATACTCTGACGAATTTTCAATGTTCTTTGGAAAAAAAATAGTCGGTTTTTTTGAGACACTCTATTATACACTCACAGGCAAAATAATCGATCCACACAAATTTTCGATGAATTTCAATCGCAAATAACTTTTTTATTTGATGTCGGATTTAAACGAATATTAAAGAATATTGTAGATAAATTAATGGACAATCGCGCACATTTTAAAAAATTACTAAAAAATACACGTACGTTTATAATATACAGGTTTAAACAAAAATATGTTTTGTACCATAAGTTTAAGACACTCTGTAGAGTGGCAAAACCGTATATTGTTCTAAATTAAGTTTTATTTATCAAGTCACATCTATTCTTAACAGTTTTGTTTTTGGTTCACCTCGATATATTTATTTTTGTGGAAAATATGGATTTTTTTAAAAAACATTGCAATTTTCAATATTTTTCTGTATGAAGAACTAAGGTTGCTATGGTCCATCCATAGCCTATGGAGAATGACAGTGACAGTTTTGTTGAATCATCCCATACTTGGACATGTCATACACGGCTTTCAAAAGCTATCAAATTGTTTTTTGCAAATTAATTTTTAAATTTTGAGGTGTCTTCTTACTTTAAAAAATGGATATGTCTCCGACTGATGTTGCCAGAGCCATAAATTTAATCCAGGATGGACGGTCGCAGTATTATGTGGCAAGTGTTTTAAACGTCACAAGAAGTAAAGTACAAAGGGCAACATCAGTCGGAGACATTTTAAAAAAAAAGGAGACACCTCAAAATTAACACATTAATTTACAAAAAACAATTTGATACCTTTTGAAAGCTGTATATGACATGTCCAAGTATGGGATGATTCAACAAAACTGTCACTGTCATTCTCCATAGCAACCTTAGTTCTTCATACAGAAAAATATTGGAAATTGCAATGTTTTTTTAAAAAATCCATATTTTTCATAAAAATAAATATATCGAGGTGAACCAAAAACAAAACTGTTAAGAATAGTTGTTACTTGATAAATAAAACTTAATTTAGAACAATATACGGTTTTACCACTCTACAGAGTGTCTTAAACTTATGGTAAAAACATATTTTTGTTTAAACCTGTATATTATAAACGTACGTCTATTTTTTAGTAATTTTTTAAAATGTGAGCGATTGTCCATTAATTTACCTACAATATTCTTTAATTTTCGTTTAAATCCGACATCAAATAAAAAATTTATTTGAGATTGAAATTCATTGAAAATTTGTGTGGATCGATTATTTTGCCTGTGAGTGCATTATAATAATTTAAAAGATCTAAAAAATTTTTTAGTAAAAATAGTAATTTTATAGTTTAAATTGTTAATTAAACAGACTTTTAAATTTCCAGATATTATAGAGTTTAAATTAAGAATAACTTCTGCAATATAATTCTACTTCTAAATTAGAAGTTCTAATATTTCAAATATATATGTTTTATTACAGTATTAAGAGACAAATTTAATAAAAAAAACTAAGTAAAATTAAGTTGACTTCGGTAGTGGTTATATACACTTACGTTTTTCTTCTTCCTCCTCATCGTCGGGTTGGTCGGGATTTTCCTTGAATTTTGCGATATCTTCTTCAAAATCTTTCAGGTATTTCCTTAGTTTTTGCCTCATGGAAGCCAAAGATTTGCTGAAAATGGCGTTGAAAAATAAAATAACCGTAGATATTTTAAATGTATAAATGTATGAGAATAACACAAAAATAATGATTAATACAAAATAGACAACTTAGAAAATACAAATATTTTAAACCTTTAAAAAATAACCAAAAATATATAAAAATCAAGTGTGTAGTAATATATCCCAAAAAATTTAAGAATGTAAAATCAGTTTAAAAAAGTAAAAAACAAACAAAAAATCAAAAATTGAAAATTTATAGAAAAACATATCGATGACTTTCTGCCAAAGTATCGCAAGCAACATAACTCAAATTTCGGGAATTGAAAACATTATTGTCTTAAAGTCTGTTTTAAATTAAATATAGCCTAAAGGATTTATAACAAGTAAATAGCTTATAATTATAGCTATTTACTTGTTATAAATCCTTTAGGCTATATTTAATTTAAAACAGACTTTAAGACAATAATGTTTTCAATTCCCGAAATTTGAGTTATGTTACTTGCGATACTTTGGCAGAAAGTCATCGATATATATTTTTTAATAATTAATATAGGGTGCATCGCTGTTTTTTGTTTCAATTTTTAAATGCCATTTTAATAGATTTGTAATTGCGCAACTTTTCTCTATTTAAACTGACCTTGTAGCTCTTCAAATAAAGATACCCATACATATAATTGTACTTGGTACAAAAAGTAAAAAATTAAGGGTTTGAGAAAAAATCAGTTTAATTGCTTAACTTTTATACATCTATGTTTCTATGTTTTTTATTATGTTGATTCCATGAAAAAGGTAAAAAAAATGCATTTAAAAAATAATTATTTTTTAAAATTATGTGATATGAAATTCTTGTTTTTGGGGTTTGGAAGGTTTACCCAAATTAAATAGTTCTACATAATTTACCCTTGAAGTAATAATAAAAACACGTTGGTAATTCTAGGATATCAATTACTGTAGATATTTTAAACGTGTAAATAAAAATTATTTAATTATAAGAGTGTGAGAATAGCACAAAAATAATGACAACTATTGTTGTATACAAAATGGACAAAATAGGAAACAAAAATATTTTAAACCTTTAAAAAATAACAAAAAATATATAAAAATCAAGTGTGTAGTATATCACAAAATTTAGGAATGGAAAATCAGTTTAAAAAAGTAAAAAATAAACAAAAAATCAAAAATTGAAAATTTAGAGAAAATTATTTTTGTTTCAATTTTTAAATGCCATTTTAATAGATTCGTAATTACGCAACTTTTCTCTATTTTATCTGACCTTGTAGCTCTTCAATAAAAAGATACCCATACATAGAATTGTACTTTGTACACCCTGTATAATCCTAAGTAAAGTCAAAAATTGAGAAAAAAATGTATTTAACAATTTTTTTTCCAAATGGCGTACTAATTGATATCCTAGAATTATTATTACTTCAAGTAAATTATGTAGAAATATACAATTTGGGTAAACCCCCTTAAAAACAAGAATTTTATATCATTTGGATTCAACTATCAAATAATTAAAAATAAAAATTTTAAATGTAATTCAAACTTTGAGAAAAAAACAGTTTAATTAATAAACTTTTATCCATTTTCCATGTTTTTTATTATGGTTAATTTCAGTAAAAAGGTAAAAAATTACATTTAACATTTTTATTTTTAATTATTTGATAGTTAAATCCAAATGATATAAAATTATTGTTTTTTAAGGGGGTTTACCCAAATTGTATATTTCTACATAATTTACTTGAATAATAATAATAAAAACTAATAATAATAATAATAATAAAAACTTTGGTAATTCTAGGATATCAATTAGTACGCCATTTGGAAAAAAAATTGTTAAATACATTTTTTTCTTACTCTAAAATTTTCAACAAAAAAAACGTTTCAAATAACAATTGCTATATGACAACGCATGATGATCAAATAGTGTAGTGAATGAATACTGTCAGCAACAGATACCTAACCTCAATTCTACGATTTTACCGCCTTCATACCTTTCTTTGGTTATTTTATGGTTAATAACAGTGAATCAACTAGAGCCTGATGCAATGTTGTCAAATTTATATTTTATTTGAATATCAGTAACATTTGATTAAATCAAAATTACAGAATTGATCCTACAATAACCAGTGTTTTCCAAAACACCCTGTGATTTATATTTTATTTGAATATCAGTAACATTTGATTAAATCACAATTACAGAATTGATCCTAGAATAACCAGTGTTTTCCAAAACACCCTGTATAGGACTGGATTAGTTAGGAAATGCAGTTTTCAAAAACACCATTTTTCATGAAAAATTTTATGGAAAAGTTTATGTTTTTAATTACATTTTTCACATTTTTTTAAATTTTATTTGATTGAGTTGATAAAGGAGCTACAAATTTTGTAAATATCACTTAAATCGGCCAAAAAGTGTTTCTGTTACAGCATTTTGCATCTTAAAAATTTATAAATTTTGGTTTTTAATGAATGTGTTTATAGGAGATAATTATTATATAACTTATTACTAATATAAATGGCAAAATAATAACAATATCAATTTAAATACCAAAACACTCACCTGTTATTTTTGTTCATGTTTTTTCTTCCATCTCTATCCTCCCACATTTCCACAATAAAATCCTCCATCTCGCTTAAACACCTGATGAAAAACCTCGGGGTCTGTCCGCTCTCCTCCTTCAAAATAACCGGCGCCGCCTTCACATAAGCTTTCTGTAACTCCTCAAAGCTCGTCAACATGCTCGACATATCCTTGATTTTCTTGTAGTTCCTGATTTGCTTGATTATGTTCATCAACTCTTCGTAGCGCTTCTCTTTGGCGGAACGCACCACACGTTTGACTTCCTCCTCATCGTCACTGAACTAAAATGAGGGTTATGTTGTTAAAAGAATGTAATTTTTTGTTTATTGTTCATTTACCGTGTAAACTGGCGCCTGCGGGCGCACAATTTGCTCCTCCTCCGAAGAACTGTCCGTATCGGACTCGGTACCGGCAAAAAAACGACTCATTTTGGGCTATTTTAGGCTAAAACAGAAAATCCCATTGCATTACACATAACCTCATTTATATGACAGATGTCTTAAATCGCATATAATAACGTGTGCATTTGATAAAGAAGACTTAAAATCAAAAAAAAATACCAAATTTAACATAAATTGACCATAATGGAGCCTTAAAAAACACTTAAAATTAGTTAAATAGATCATATACATGTGTTTCGTACATCTGTCACAATTTTAAAACCCTAAAAAACGCATTTCAAACAATAAAAACACGAAATTAAAACATTACACTGATAAACCAAGTTATAAAGGGCATTTTTCAGTAAAAATCGGCGAACTTACATCAATATTTCGTTAAATATTTTAAAAAATACTAAAAGATAAAACCTGCCACAATATGGCGGTTTAGGTTAAGAACTGGTGACTTTTTCGTCACGCAGTTGGCCACAGTGTAAACAATAGTTAGGCAACTCAGATTACGTTTTATGAGTTTTTGATAAACATTAAAGGTGGCGCTATAGTCAACATAATTTAATTTTTGTTTACAATACAATGTAGCATAATAAAGCTTTTAATACAATAAAATTAATGTATTTCTTTAATCCCCACATACAAACAAAACTTTTATTATTTAGTAAACATTCATTTATCATACGTACTGTCCAGAAAGAAAGAATATAAAGGCAACATAACAATACAAATTTCCTCGAAAAAGCTAACAAAGTATTATGATTATCCTGCGTCGTTTTAAAGGGACGCCAAGGCGTCTAGACCTTTCGACGCTGGGAAACTGAAACAGACGCAATGTTTTAATGTTTTTAGTTTGGTTTTCCCGACCTTCGCCTAGTTTTCTGCGTAAATAGAATGAAGAGATACTGACTTTTCTGCGAAGTGAGCATGTACGTTAAATTGGGGGTGGATTTAGCGGTCCATTAGACAAATAACAGATTATTTTTGAGATTTTTTGTTTTAAATAAAAAGTTCGTATATTTATAAACACTATTAATTAATACAGTTTTTATCTAATACTGCTTAATTTGTTTACAGAAATCTTTTAATAAAAATATTAATTTTGATAATAGGCTTTCGTGATAAGATCTTGAAATGGCTCTTTTCAGGCTAATATTTGTATATTTTAGTAAACTATATAAAAGACCCATATATGGCAGTTTTCAGTATCAAGTTGATAAGACTTAAAAAAACCATTGAAGTGTCAAATGTTTTTTGTATATAAAACTTACATGAACCTTTAATTATCCTTTGGTTAACGCCATATTTTAAAAATGACGCCCAGTGTAATTCCTATAGTTTAAACTTAAATTTAATAGTGTTTTATACCACATAAAAAATAATAATAATAATACCTAATGATTGTTAATATATATAAATTTAACTCGCACTCGTATAGACAACCTTATACCTATAGCCTATAGCCTATAGGCTATATACACTGTATATTATACAGTGTGTGTATATTTGTTTGCGTAAAATCTTTATTTATTGTGCGATTTTAACTGGATTTGTTTTAAAGTGTAGATCTTGATAAACTTTATTTTTGGTGCAAAAAAACGCTATATTTTTACAAAATACAAGGCCTACTATGTCACTTTTTAAGACTAAATTTTTAAAAATTCATATTAGCGATTTTTTTACACACACAACAAAATCTAAGCACGGCGCTGGATTCACCACCCCTGAAAATGACCCAATACTAAATTTTATTGAAAAAATGCAGAATAATAACTACAAAAATTTATTTTATTAAGTTTAATTTAATTTAATGTTTTTTTCATGGATAACTTGACAGAATACATTTTTGTAGTTATTATTTTATACTTACAATTTTTCAATAAAATTTAGTAAAGGGCAAATCGCTAATATGAATTCTTAAAAATTTACTATTAAAAAGTGACATAGTAGGCCTTGTATTTTGTACAAATATGGCGTATTTTGCTCCAAAAATACAGTATATCAAACAAATAAAAACAAATCCGGTTAAAATCGAACAATAAATAAAGATTTTACAGGGGTGATTTGCAAACAAATGGGTCACACTGTATAAATATACATATACATAATATGTATATTATGTATGTGCATATAATTAAAACAAACATTTTAATATAAAATAATAATAATTAATAGGTAGTAAAACCTTAAGAATTCTTTTACATATGGGGCATTCCACGCCGAATCGGATGGTTTAAAAAAAATTTGATTTCTCCAATTTTTTTATATTTTTTAGTACCCCTTGAAAGATCTTTCTCAGTAAATTTTGAGATTTTTTTGATCACGGGTTCAAAAGATCAAATTTTCAAAAAAACTGCTTTTTTTTTTGTTTTTCGCTCATAACTTCTTAAAAAATGGTCCAAATCAAAATGTTCATTCTATATAAAATTTTCGTTTTTAAATGTTCTTTAAAAAAAATATATTGAAAATTTTTGAAGCGTTTTAAGTCAAGATTTTTGAGTTTTAAAGTTTAAATCGTGTTTTTAAAAATGTGTGTCTTCTTCGATTTTCGCGAAAAAATTTTATTTTCAACTTTTATCTATTCAACAACTATTCAGCCTAGTCCGGTAGTGGGCCTTCCATAATTACTATTTTTTTTTCGATTTTTTAAATTAAAAAAAAAATTCTCTAAAAATTATTATAAGTGATCAAAAAAAATATATAAAAAAATTGGAGGAATCAAAAAAAATTTTTTTTAAACCATCCGATTTGGCGTGGAATGCCCCATATATAACACCGCAGATGATAAGGGGAAATAACACGTAGATAAATTTGGGATTTTATTAAAAGCATCAAAACTAATTTTAATTGATTATGGATACATAAATTGTTAAAATTGTAGGTAGGTAGGTACGTTTATTATTTAGCTATTTTGCTTTATTTTCCTGTGTAGGAGGGTAAAACCTATTAAATTTAATTGTTTTTAAATTATTACAATATTAATACGACATAACTTGAGCTTAGCAATATTTAATGACTGTAAAAATATTATATTGTATTATTTAAAATTATTACGGTCTCTATTACCAATTAGTTTTAAATTAGGATTAGAATAATTTGATAGTACCTACCTAACGCAATAGGTAGCACATTATTTTTTTTTAATGTAATACATCAATTTAATTAACATTGTTTACGATCTACATATTTCTGCATAGATTTTATACTTATTAATTATTGATTGATACTGTTTGTAAATTTTCAATATAAGTGCCTTAAGCGCCTCAAGCGGCATGCGCCACTTAAAGCTCCTCCCCCAAGGGCTTACCGAGGGATGACTTCTTTTAAAATAGTTAGTCAGGCTACTGTAGCCGCTCTAGAAAGGAACATTGTTAAATAATTAAGCTACCATTTAAGTCATTGTATTATTCAGCAGTTAACTGAATAAAGAGTTAAGTTTACATACGTGTTCAATTCCTTTCTACTAAGCATCACAAAACAAACAACTTTACATTGGTCCTTCGAGCCGGATACATACATATCCAAAGCAAACTTCGCATACATACACAACGAGTTTTAAGTGCAGCGAACATTAATTTCAAATAATACGTAAAATACATCATAAACATCGAGTGCTAAGTGCAGCGAACATTCATTTCGTATCAAACGTGGAATACATCGAGCGCTAAGTGCAGCGTACATTCATTTCGTATCATACGTGGAATACATCATACATATCGAGTGCTAAGTGCAGCGTACATTCATTTCGCATCATACGTGGAATACATCATACACATCGAGTGCTAAGTGCAGCGTACATTCATTTCATATAATACGTGAAATATATCATACACATCGAGTGCTAAGTGCAGCACTGCATCTACACATACGCATTGGAATAAAACATCATCGTCGTATAGGATATCCCATACGAGTCAGAAAGTGAGTACCTTCCTTTACATACTATTTTCCTTTACATAAGTCAGTATTGATTCGCAATCAACATGTCAGAGTTAAGTAACTTAACGCGAAAACGCGGTAGTCTCAAAACTAAATTTACGAACTTTTCGAAATATTTAAAATCAGTGGAAGATGAACTGAAAAATAGAATTTCTACTGCTACTGATACAGGTAGCATCGCGTTATCGGAAGGCACTATAGCCGCTGTTAAAGAAACATTAAAGCGCATAACAACGGCATTTTCTGAGTTTGAACAAATTCAGGATGAAATTGAGCAATTAGTAATTGGGGACGATAACCTCCCCGAGCAATATGCGTACCGAGCCGATATCGATAGCACTTACCTTGATTTATATAGCCGATCACAAGAAATCGTTCTCGTACATAGTCCCAAACAAATTTTACCTAGTGAGAGCAGTAGCAACGGCGAACCGCCGGGCTCAAACGTATTTGATCTAAGTAGTACGCGGTCAAGTTTCTTAAAATTGCCAACGATTCCATTGCCTATATTCGACGGTACTTTGCTAGACTGGTTAGAGTATCGTGAAACCTTTAACTCATTAATTAATAATAATTCTAAACTAGATCCCATTGAAAAATTCCACTATTTAAAATCATCAGTTTTAAAAACACCTAAGGAAATAATAGAAGGTATAGCGTTTACAGCTGATAATTATACCCTAGCTTGGGATTTAATCTGCGATCGCTTTAATAATAATAGGCGTCTCATTGATTCACACGTAGAAGCTCTTTGTAATTTGCAACCTCCTCAAAATGAATCAGCCTATTTATTAAGAAAGGTTCTTGATGGCATGAATAAAAATCTGCGTGCGTTAAAATTATTAGGTCAGCCTACTGAACACTGGGACACATTAGTAGTCTATCTCATTTCGCGTAAATTCGATGAAAAAACATTTAGGGCTTGGGAAGAATACAAAGCAGAGCGTCCATCAACGACAATTAATGACTTAAAAACATTCTTACTCAACAAGTGCGATTTGCTAGATTCTTTAGGTCATAAATCTACCCCTAATAAAAATAACTTTAAATCCATTAAAACTACCTCTAAGAATTTTTACGTCTCAAATACAACATGTACCATCTGTAAGGGCACTCATCCTACTTACAATTGCAAGGAAATAATACATTTGGCGCCAGCAAATCGCCTGGAGTTTGTCAAAGCTAAGGGGCTTTGTATTAATTGCCTTAAGCCAGGTCATAAATCTATCGATTGTAAATCTAGTAACTGTAGAAAATGTGGTCGCAGGCACAATACTTGTTTACACACAGATCGAACAGGTACACGTAATTTACATGACATCAATCCAGAATCAAGTAGTGCCAATCATGAACCTACCTCGAATTTAGTTACAACAAACACTAGTAATTCATTTCATCAAGCTTTCAATGTTCAAACAAATACGCATGTATTACTTTCTACGATTTTAGTTAAATTACGTGATAGATTTGGTAACACTCATGAATGCAGAGCCTTATTGGACAGCGGCTCTCAGTCTAATTTTATAACCCAAG